TAAAAATTATTCGGAGTCTCTCTCTCTCTCTCTTTCTCTCTCTCTCTCTCTCTCTCTCTCTCTCTCTCTCTCTCTCTCTCTCTTTCTCTCTCTCTCTCTCTCTCTCTCTCTCTCTCTCTCTCTCTCTCTCTCTCTCTCTCTTTCTCTCTCTCTCTCTTTTTTAAGGTTTCATTGTTTGACTGTCGTGAAAATATTTTTTTTTTTTTTTTAAATTTATTTTATAAACGTCTGGGAGGAAGTTGTTGTACTTTTTCATGTCTCACCGATCAGAAATGTTTTTGTATCGTTATCGTTTCTGCTGTGAAATTATTATTATTATTATTTTTTAAGGGAGAAAGGGGGGGTACGGTAGAAAGTTTTGAAATAATAATAAACGTATTGGTATTTTTTTTTTTTTTGTGAAAATTTTTTAATGACGTTTGCTTAATTACACGTTTTTTACGGTCGAAAATGTATTCGAGTCTTCAAATACAATAACAAATAAATCTCTCTCTCTCTTTCTCTTTCCCTTTCTCTTTCTCTCTCTATAAATCTGATGTTTTATGTGAGAAGAAATTTTTTTTTTTTTTCCATTGTTTAATGCACTGGATATTATAATAAGATCATCGTAAAAAAAAAAAAAAAATAAAGAAAACTTGAGGGCATTTGATAAATCAATCGAATTTTCCCAATAAACTCATCGTATTCGTCTCGTTCCACCCTGTTGCCATTTTTTTTTTTTTTTTTCGAACGGGAAATTTGTCGAAAATAGGAAAAAAATAAAAATAAAAACTGACCTTTTAAATATAGGGAAAAATTCGCCATTTTTCGCGTCGTCGTCATCGTCGTCTACGTTTCTAGAGACACGTTAAAACGATTTTATCTTAACGGTTTTTTTTTTATTATTATTAAATTTAAATTAATAAAAAGTCTTGTCTAGGATTAAATATATAAAATAAGTTATATATTTATATTTATATAAATGATTTGAGGTTTTGCCCATTTTGTCGAGAATGTGTCGGGGGTGGGGGGGGAAGGAAAGAAGGAAGGAAGGGGGGATTATTATTATTATTATATTACATCAGATTTCGATTACGGAACGCCGGGTTTTTTTATTATTATTATTATTTAACTCGATGAGATGGCGACGTGTTTGTTTCTCTTCTTCGTGTTTGAAAATTTTTCGTCGTCTGCGCAAGCGTACCAACCGTACGGTTAAAACTCGATTAAAATGTGCAGTTCATCGCGTTGCGCTGTACCACGCGGGACGTTTGATATTGAAAACAAAAAAAAAATTTCTTATTTATTGCTAAGGAGAATTCAAAAAAGAAAAAGAAAAAAGATTGGATTCGATACGTAAATATTAATAATAGTAAATCGTGTAATTAGTGCGTGTGTGTGGGTGCGTGTAAAGCAATTAGTCATTGCGTCATAGAAGAAAGAGAAAGAGAGAGAGGGAAAGGGAAAGGTTTTTTCTCTCTGATAGTGGTACGCGTGCGTTTTCCGTTCCCCCTGTTGAGGATTGTTTCATGGACACGACATACTTTGTATAAACCGATCGTAAGTAATAGAACATAATGCATTCGAGGTAGAATTTTGTTGTATACTGTTGTTGTTGCTCGGGCAACGGTCCCATTTTTTTGTAGAACAGATTATTATTATTATTATTATTATTATTATTATTATTATTATTATTATTATTATTATTATTAAAATAGATTTTTTTTTTTTAATTTTTTCTTTTCTTTTCATTCGAACATTTACTATTCTTTATGATAAAATGACCCTCGTGCAGGGCGTTAACTTTCTTTTATATAATAATAATAAAATAAATTTTGCATATTTAGGGGGGGAGGGGGCTTGGGCGGCGGATTTTACCTTAATTAATTAATTTTTTAGCCCGAAACTTTCTCTTGTTCCTCTTCTTCTTCTTCTTCTTCTCTCTTTTTGTTCTCTCTCTCTCTCTCTCTCTCTCTCTCTCTCTCTCTCTCTCTCTCTCTCTCTCTCTCTCTCTCTCTCTCTCTCTCTCTCTTTCTCGTTTTGTAAAATTTAAATAAAAATATAATAATAAGTTTTTGTTTTAATGATATTTTATTGGGGAAGGGGGGGGAACAAGATGGGAAGGAAAGGAAAAATAAAAGAAGAACCGGTATAAAAATAATAATAATAATAATAATCGTGTCGGGTAACATTTGCGTTAAATTTGCGCTCATTCATTCAACTTGTTTTAACAAAAAGATCAGTAACCTTTAAAAAGAGAGAGAGAGAGAATCTGCGAGAATCAAAAAAAAAAAAAAAGAAGCGTGTTATGGTACCATCATCATCATCATCATCATTATTATTATTATTATTATTATTATTATTATTATTATTATGAAATTTTGGAATTCGGTATATGTGTGTGTGTATGGTATCGATGTGGATTTTAAATGTGTGGATCTAAATAATAGTCCAAAAAAAAAGTTCAATCAATGTTGACCTTAACGATTTAATTCGGTCGTGAAGAAGTTAAAAAAAAAAAAAAAAAAACACGAAAAGCTTTTATTAAATCGTGCTTTGATTATACGAAATTAGTTTTTCTGTTCCCTCCCCTCCCCCCTCCCCAGTTCGCTCCCGTTAATTCCACGTCGATTGTATGTGGAATGGTGTTAAGTCACACACACACACACACACACACACATACACACCTGATGAGATTAGTTTAGTTTAGTTTTTATCATTAATTTATTGTCGAATTGTCGAATTATTTCGCGTATACACGGAAAGCAATAAAAACAAAGAATTATTATTATTATTATTATTATTTTACTTTCTTTTTGACGTGGTTCTAGTCGAAATTAGGAAAAGGAGAAAAATGAATTCCTGCATAATTTTCGTTTTCGTGAAAATATTTTAGTTGTGTGCGTGTAGGTATAAAATAGAAAATTTGTTGAAAGGAAAATTAATTATTTTAACGTAATTTTTTTTAAATTAATTTTTCTCGAGAAAACCTTTTAACCTTTTTGGAATTGTATGTACCATGTGCGTGTATGATAAAATAATAATAATAATAATAATAATAGAGTTTTGGTTTATCTGAATTTAAAATCCGCCGCTTATCTCAAATGTGGTCGTTTTATTTTTATTTTTACGTTTGTTGTTGTTGTTGTTCTCGTCGTTTTCTTCGTAATCGAAAATGATTATTGTTTTATTATTATTATTATTATTATTATTATTATTATTATTATTATTATTATTATTATTATTATTATTATTATTATTATTATTATTATTATTATTATTATCGACGTTTAAAAAGATTCGATTTAAATTTTTCGATGTTAATATGAGTCACATATATATAAATATTCAAGTTTTATTAAGGTTTTTTAGTAGGTACATATTCATGCAACGAAGGACGATTTTTCTCTCTCTCTCTCTCTCTCTCCTCTCTCTTTCGTGCCAAATATCAAATGACCTTTTTTTCCGCCTCCCCCCAACTTCCAACTTCCAACTCCGCCTTTTCCCCGTGGCAAATAAAAAAAAAAAAAAAAAAAAAAAAAAACAATCAATTTATTCGAATCTCAAAAATTAAGCACGTGTACGAAAAAAAAAAAATTTGTTCACTTCGTGAACGTGGATATCATCAAAATTTAATTTGATTTCCACTCACTCACTCACTCACTTATTTAATTTGTTTGTGTTTGTTTGAAAAAAAAAAAAAAAAAAGAAAAAAACCTTCAAAATCAGGTTTTGAAAATAAAAACTTGTGCTTTTCCATAATCGAGAGAAAGAGAGAGAGAGAGAGAGAGAGAAGTGATTATTGAGCGTTAAAAAATTATTATACACGTAGTAAAAATCTGACAAAATAATAATAATAATAATAATAATAATAAAGGCGGGGTAGTAAAAACCAGGCGGGGTACCTAAAATTTTCCTTTTTGAAATGATTTTTTTTTCCTGTTTTTTTTTTTTTCTTCTCTTCATCGATGATGACTATAAATGTTTGTAAAGTGAGTAGTAGTAGTAGTGACGCATTATTATTATTATTATTATTATTATTATTATTATTATTATTATTATTATTATTATTATTATTATTATTATTATTATTATTATTTGATTAGAAAGGGAAAAGAAGAAGGAGTAGTATGTTTAGGGAGTACGTGGCGAATACCTTAGATGGACATGAAACATGTGATTCGTTAAACAATGCCTCAAGGCAGACAAACCCAATATAAGTAACCGATAAAAATAAAAATTTGGTGGAAAATCTGTTTGAAAATCGATAACGAAAGTTCGATCAATAGGTCAGTCAGTCAGTCAATCAATCAATCAATCAATCTTCGATTACGCGGTATTTAATTGCGATCCGATGACTTGTGTAGTAGCAACCTATCGAGAATGTTTAACCTTGAACCTGAATTACAAGTCGTACATATCTCATTGATTATATGCGGGTGATGAGTTTAAAAAAAAAACTGGAATTATTAATTCGCGGGGGGGGGGGGGGCGGGGGGTTTCATAAAATTATTACAATAATGAATGAATTAATTGTTTCGTGCAAAGATCTCCGAAAGTTTTTTTTCCTTCTGCTTCTACGTCTTTAATTTTTTTTTTTCTTTCTTATCCTTATCCTTGTATTTAAAACGCGTGATTTAATCATTTGAATATAATAATAATAATAATGATAATAATAATTGTTAGGAATGAATCACCAACGAGAAATTTATTACCATTAATAATACCTGAGACTCGTCGATTATGATTGATGCGTAATTTTTTTTTTTTTTTTTTTTTAATAACCTTATATCCTAATTTGTTTGTTGAATAAAATGGTTTCTAAAATATATTTATATATATTTAATATAAAAAAAAAATCAAATAAGGAAAATGTTTGGCGGCCATATTAATAAAACGTTGTTAGAGTTCACGTTACAAACATTTGTTAATTTTTTTTTTTTTTTTTTAGCTTATTTTCAATTATATTTTAATAAATTACACACGAAGAAATTTAAAATTTTAAATTTTTTTCACAGCGCATGCGCGGGCCTAACGTAAATTACATGACCCGTTAATATTAAAAGTTGGCGGACCGGTCGTAAAGCGAAAAGACTTTTCTAAAAAAAAAAATTTAATTTTTTTTTATTTATCCTCAATTATCCATATATATGCACATCTGTGTTTTTTTTTTGTTAATTTGAAAAATAATTTATTATTATTATTATTTTAGGTGAGGCTAAGGATGAAGTGGTAGCAGAGTCAGGTGGAGAAGTGGTAGAAGATTCCGAAGACGACGAATGGAATTATTTTAAAGTTGAATCTGGTGTTAGCGTACCGGTTGAAAACGTCACTACTAACAACAAATCGGTAAGATGAAATATTTTGTATATTGGTTTACGAAACGAAAAGAAATAAAATGTACAGACAACAAACAACAAACAACAACAACAACAAAAAGGAAATGTTATGATTGTTCAAACGCATGACAGGCGTGCAAATATTTATTTTGATTAACAATTGTTTGTCGCCTTAGAAGTAAAAAAAAAAAAAAAAAAAAAAAAAAAAACCGTCTCGTCGTCTCTCCATTGTTGTTTGATTTTAATCAATAAATTGTATTTATTAAATAAATAAAAATTGAAATGATTTACAGATTTCTGGCGTTGCTGAAGATTTGTCAGAAGAAAAAATAAGCATGAATTCACCATTGAATCCAGATGCTGCCGAATTCATTCCCGTTTCTCCCATGTCTGCTCCCGGGGAAAAATATTTAACCGAAACACCCGTGAAAAATATTCCCCACGATTTGTCCGACATAATCGCGTCTTCGCCGAATTGGTCGAACATGGAAAGCGTCACGGTTCCGGAAGAATCGACTTTTATGAGGGATATCAAAAGCAGACCGAGTAATTTATTTGAAGAAGCTCAGTTGTCACCGAATAACGCCTTTTCGAATTTCAACGAAGACTCGAATAATCAATCACCGAATTATCAAATTCCCGATTATGCATCACCGCCCGCGGAAAACGATTCGCCTAAAGAACAAAGCGTTCCTGAAGAAGCGCGTGGAATATCGTTGGCAAACGATATGATTAGCTCTTTTATAGATCCATCGACGATGAGTTCACCGAATGAAATGATGGAACAACACGTCGATGTATCAAATGTGGAAGTGAACGAATCAGTGGTCGAAGAAAAGAAAATACCTTTGAGCCAAGAAGTACCGCAGACGCAAGATGTCGAGGCACCCGAATCAAAATTATTACACACGGAATCGCCGAATTTAGTTTGTTATAGTCCTACCAAAGATGTACCCGAACCTGTTTCACCAATTCCATCGACTCTTAAATCGCCCGAAGTTGACAGATCATTTTCTCCAGAATCGGAACCTATCACGGAACCCCTTGTTTCTCCCGTACCCCCTACTGATGTCCACAATTTAACACAAACGCAATCATTTGCACCCGTGGCGACCGAAGATTTATCGTCGCAACTTGAAAAATCTAATGAAAGCAACGAAAAATCTTTGCCCGACAATGAAAAATATTTAGCTGCAGATAAGAATGTAGAATCTGCTCCTGTTGTTGCTGGCGTTGTAGCAGCGAGTGCCGCTGCTGCTGCTACTGTTGCTGCTACTGCTGCTGCTGTTACTGACTTAGTCAATAAAAATGAAGTAAAAGATGATAATAAACCTTCGCAAAAAAGTGTTCCTGGTAGGCTTTCCACGAAAACAACAGCTTCGAAGCCTTCAGTTACTGGAACCAAAACCACTACTGCTAAAAAATCATTAGCTCCAACGCCACCAGTTAAATCATCGGCAACCGCAAAGACTGCTTCAGCTTCACCTATGAAAACAGCAACATCAAGATTATCAACCACTGCTAAAACAACTTCCAAAGTTTCAAGCACTCTGACTTCCAGTTTAAACAAAACACAAGTTCGTCCAAAAACGAGTACTGCGCCCCCGGCTTCAAAGTCATCATTGTCTTCAACTGCAACTGCTGCAAAATCATCCTCGGTAGCAGGAAAGACGGCACCAAAAGCTCCGACTTCAACGGTACCGGCAGCAAAACCAAAACCCAGGGTTTCATCCGCTCCGCTCGTAAAAAGAACTGCTCCGGGTCTTAACGGCGAAACCAAAAGCACGACCACGATAAAACGAACAGAAGTAACTTCGCAAACTAAAAAACCAATATCCGCAAACACTTTAACCACACCTTCACGACTATCATCATCCACTCGTCCATCCACGGCACCAACCAAACCCGGCGGAACGGCGAGAACAACTCTAACAATGGTGACAACAACAACAACATCAAGAACTCTTCCGGGAAAATTGAAAACGGGTACGAGCACCGTGACAACGAGTACAGTTACCACATCGAGCAGATTATCTTCTGCCACGAAAAAACCAGTACTCGGATCGGATAAGCAAGCAAAAGAATTGGCAAATAGATTAACATCAAAATCAACGGTATCGTCAGTCAAAACGAATGGAGTCATTCCGGGTAAAACAACCACAACCGCAACCACATTAACAAAAACGAGAAAATCTTTGACGAGCGGAGCGACGCCGTTGAAAACAAAAACGAATAACAAGACTGAAAGCAAGGCTGAAAAAATTGTCGAAAAAACAATTGAAACGATCGAAACCATGAAAAACGAAAGCGAAAACCTTTTGATAGAAAACAATAAGGATATTAATTTAATTAACAGCATTGCGAGCGAGTAAAAAGTTCAAAAAACTCAGGTACAGGTTTTTCAATGCCCCGGTACACAACAAAAGTATTTTGTGCCAATATTTTATTTTATTATTATTATTATTCTCGAAACACAATGCTTTTCTTTTTTACAACAAGTGCCTATTCAAACGTCAAAAGAAGATGGAGTAATTGTCATTCGTTATTAAGAGAATCGCAAATTATTTACTTATTAGGTTTTTTGTTTTGTTTTTTCAAGTTAGAAATGATTCTCATTCGAGAACACGCGATAAAATGCCGTATTGTTTCTAAAAAAAAAAAAAATAAAAAAATATTTTTCCTTAAAACAGGCCCTAAATTTCATAGATTTAAAAACTAATTGTTATTAACGTATGAAAAAAAACGTAAATGTCGTGGAAGAAGAATAAAATCAATTTAATTTGAAATAACGGTTTTTTTTAAAAATTTGAATAGAACAAGTAGTAACAAGTAGTAGTTAAATACAGGATAGAGATAAAACATATCATCAAATTTTTTGCCTATGCTTTTTAGTAACGGATTTTTCTATGTGTTTTTTTCATTTTTCTTTTTTCATCGATTTGGGTATTGAAAAACCGATTACGCAAGTTTTTTTTTTTTTTTTACTTTTAATTTTTAATTTTTATTTATATTTATTATTTAAAATATTACATGCGCATAAATAATAATTTTAATAATAATAATAATTTTTTTTTTTATTTATTCACGATGCGAGAATTAATTATTTAAAAAAAAAAAAATAATAAATAAATGTAGAAGGGGGAAGAGAGAGAGAGAATAATTTTATATAATGGCGGTTATTTTTTTATTTTTTTTTTTGAATAAAATCGGGGATATCGGGGTGATTTTATTATTTTATTGTAAAATGTAAAAAAAGGAATGTGTTGTAATTGCATTTATTTGTTTCTCCCCCCCCCCCCCAAAAAAAAAAATAAAAATATTTATAGGCTTGAAATAAAAAAAAAAAAACGCAAAAAAAAAATTTTAACTATTTTTTTTTAATTGTTGTCTGAGGGTGAGGGCAGAATGATGATGATAATAATAATAAATAAATAAATTTAATTATTTTTTAAATTAAGCGTATGAAAAATATTATTATTATTATTATTATATTTTATTCTATTTTTTTTTGTAAACGATCAATCAATCAATCAATCGTGTGCATAATTTTTTTGGTTATTTTTAACACCGAAGCACGTTATTATTATTATTATTTATTTAATAAAAAAATACGTAATAATAATTAATAAAATTTAAATATAATAATTATAAAATATTTTGCGTTTAAGTATTTCATATATTTATATGAATACATGTATACATGGGAAAGCTTTAATAAAAAGGATATAAAAAAAAAAGGAAAAAAAGGAATATAATGATAATGATAATTAAAAATAAATAAATATATATTGCGCTAAGGTTTTATATTGCATGGTGTTATCGTTTATTATTAACGACATTTTTTTTTTTTAATTTTTTATTATATATAATTTTTTAAGCTTTGAAAATTTTATTATGAAAAATAATTAATTATGCAAGTTTTATAAAAAAGTATATATATATACTTATATTATCGAATTTATAATAATAATAATAATATATATATTATTTGCTTACGTACACACCCATACACACTCATATATACATATATATAAATATATGATAATTGTTTTTTTTTTTTTATTTGCATAGCTTTTTGCAATAATAGTAATAATAATAATAATAATAAAATGCCACTTTTTTTTTTTTTTTTTTACACTGCTACGCTTTTCTCGTTATTAAATTTTTTTTTTTTTATTATATATATATATATAAATAAATATATATGCGCTCTACGCCTTTTGTTTAAGCAAGAAAAATATATAATAATAATGATAATAGTATATATATTAATATTATAATTAAAATATTTTAATATTATTATTAGCCTTAAAAGTACTGATATATATATATATATATATATATATATATTTTTTTTTTTTTTTTACTACATTTATTCGGCCACGGTTGTTTATTATTTTTAAAAATAAAAATGAAAAATGAATTTTTTTTAATAAAAAATAATTAAATAGTTAAATAGTTTAACCGTATGGTTGTGGTCCATTTTTAGTTTTCTATTATTATTATTATTATTATTAATATATATATATGAAATAATTTATTTTACAATTGTGTTTTTTATTTTTTATTTTTATGTTCGATTAAACGCACATTTAGTTTATTATGAATATATACATATGTTCACTTGGATTATTATTATTATTATTATTATTATTATTATTATTAATATTATTATTATTATTATATTGTTAGTTTAATCACGAATTTTTATTATTTTTTATCATCAAATATAATTATCGCGAATATAATAATTTTTAATATAGTTATGTGCAATTTTTTTTTTTTATATTAATTTTTCCTTTTGTGTGTAAAATAGAAATTGAACATCATGAAAAAAAAAGAAAATTATTTAAAGGGATGTAAGATATATAAAGGGTATAAAGGAAAAAGAATAATTCCTAAAATATATATTTATATTATATATTATATATTAATATATATTATATTATATATAATAAATATATTATTATATATATAGTAATATATATTAAATATAATTATATAATAATATTATATTAATATATAATATATATATTATATATTTATATATATAATATATATATATAAATGGTAATTATTTTATCAAAATAATAACTTAAAATAAGTTTATTTACATCGATAAAGGGAATTTTTAGTTTCAAATGTTTTCCCTCCAAAAAATGTAAACATTGAAACGTTGCCAACATTATTTTTCTCTATGACACGACAGTACTTAAAGTCACGTCGTATGCTATTTACCTCATTTTTATTTACATCTTCTATGACGTTCAAAGTCAGTTTTTCATTACATTCAAACTTTAACGTTTATAGTTTTGTTTGGAATATATGGATTTTGTTGTGTTTCGGCTTACGATTTATAAATTTTACGTCAATTTAAATAAAAGGTAAGTTTTTATATTAATTTTTGATAAATTTATCGAAATAAATATCGCGGATACAAAAATTTTTTATTTGATTTTTATCAAGTTTTATACGATGGGATACGTATCTGGTTTAATTAAAATATTATTTTTAAATTAAATTTTATACCTTTTTTATATATTTCATATAATTAATATTTAACAATTAACATTTTTAAAAAAATTTTTGAAAAAAAAAATTTTTTTTTTTTTTGTCTATTGCAATGAGGTTTTCAAAGTCAACCACATATATATTATGAGTGTCATTGATAGGCTAATTTAATTATCAATTATTTTTATGAATAAATGACATTGGTAACTGCAATATTAAAATTTTTGTTTGATGTTTTATTCAAGCAAAATATTATATAGGATTTTATTAATTTTGACTGAAATAAATTTAGCTTTATTAATTTATAATTGTAGTCATATGAATCATGTATAATTTTCAACATGTGAAACTATTTTTTTTAAATGATCCCCCTGAACTTTGCTTCGAATAACATAAAAATCTTTTTAATAATTTAGTATTTTATTATTCATTAAGTTTTTTTTTGTTTTAATTAGTTAAAATTATGGTCATAGACGAGTATATATATATATATATTTTTGTTAAAATTTTGAACTTTTGAACGTTAAATAAACAAGGCATATACATAACATTTTTATTCGAAAAGCTATAAATTAAATTTAATAATGTTTTATGTTTCAAAAAAAAAAAAAACCCTTTATATATTTGCATGTTTACTATTTTACTCGTTACTATTTTAATCGTTTTTTATTCTTCGATAAAATATATTGAATTCATTTTCTCGATTTTAACATAATTTTAATCGGTTCAGCTGGTACTGATATTAAATGAAGCACCATATTAATTTCTTTATCATTTTCGAGTCTCACCTCATAATTTTTCAATATCTGAAAATTTTAATTTAAAAAAAATATGATTTAACGATATGATTATAAAAAAAGAAAAGAAAATTCTTTGGCATGTGTACTTACAGTAGATAAAGCGATTAATATTTGAGTTTCAGCAATTTTTTTCCCAATACAAGATCTAGATCCCATAGCAAAAGGTAAAGAAGCAGTTGGATTAGTAACTCCTTTATATTTATCACCACATCTTAACCATCTTTGAGGGTAAAATGATTTCGAATCAGGAAAATATTTTTCATTTCTTCCACTCGAATAAAGTGATAATAAAACTAATTCCTAAAAAAAAAAAAAAAAAAATTTATGAAAGTTTTTTTATCTTAATATCATACCTGACGTTAAGAAAGTTTTTATAAAATTTACATTAGCGTTGATTTTATAATCGTTTAAAATTGTATCTTCTGGCATGAATCTTGTTATGAAAGGTGCAACTGGATAAAGTCTTAATGTTTCTCTCAGGCAACCTTTTAATAAAGGCAAATTAAAAACGTTTTGCGTATTATTATTATTATTATCATCTTCTTTAATAATTTCATTGTAAATTTCTTTTTGTGTTGTTTCGTTCTTTGATAAAAGATAAAGAGACCAAAGCATTGTGTAAGCCGTCTGAAATGTAAAAAAAATATGTTTTAAATTAAAAAACAAAACTAATAATAATAATAATAATCATTTTTTTTTTATAATTTAATATTAATGCATTCATATTTAGACTAATATTATTTTGTTATGGGAAGAGAAAAAAAAAAAAAAAGAAAACAATTTTTTTTTTTCATTTCATTTCAAGGGTCAAATTTTTCAAGGTAAACAACAAAAAAATTTTTAATATTTTTTTTTTTTTTTTTGGTAACACTCACAGTGTCTCCAGCTGCTAATATCAAATCTATTACTATTCTTATTAAATCTTCTTTTTTTTTTATTTTAATTGATAATTCTTGTAAAAGTCCTCCAGGAATTGGATTTTTTTCATTCATATCCATAAGTTTTTCAACTATTTCTCTCCCTGATGACGTCACGACAATAATGATAATATTAAACTTGATAATCAATTTTTTTTTGTTAATAATCTATGTAATATTATTATTATTTTTTTGTTACCTTGTTCCATGGCCGAATTAGCAGCCGCGACAAATCTTTTCCAAACTGGAAAATTTAATTTTGCGACAATTTGAACGGGTAAAAGCGATAGGGTAGCACTTTCGATAAATATTCTATGAGTTTTTTGCGATAGATTTTCAACGAATGGCGACAATATAAATTTGTTTCGAGAATAATTTTCCGTTCCGAGTAAAATGGCGATCATAACTGTAAATAAATTTCGATTTAAAAATGGAAACTCTACAAAAAAAAAAAAAAAAAAAAACTTTTTTTTGACATTTTTACCTTCGAGTGACCATTTGTATAATTGTTTTTCCAAATTTTCGACGACCGAATCACTTTTCCAATTTTCAATCAAATTTTCCGCGACGTAAATTGATTCCCTAACGTATTTATCCTCTCCGATTTTCAACATTGAATTATTCATAATTTTTCGATAATTGAACCATTCTTCGTTTTCCCTGAATGAAGAAAATCTTCCTGGGATTCATACCAAGCAGTCACGAATTGGGTTAAATCGAAAAAGAGAGAGAGAGAGGGGGGGAGAGAGAGAGAGAGAGACGAATACTTAAACTTACATGAATAACAATCCTCTTTTGCAATTGTATTTTTCATTATATAACATCCACGATTCTGGAATTATATGTTTCGGATATTTTCCTTCGAGTGCAAAAATTTTCCTCATGTAATCGCCATCGGAAACAAATATCGCTGACACGGGTCCAAGTTTTTCACGGTAAATCGGACCTAAAATTTTCCGATAAATTCGTTCGATAGTAATCGATATTCGTTTTAAAAAAATTTAAAATTTAAAATTTATAATTACCGACCCAATTCTTTGTGACGTTTATCCACGTACAAATGTAATTTCGACGGTCCTCCGTTTGCCAGTATCGATAAAGTCGTACCGATAAACGGTAACGATTTTGGACTGGGTATCGTCTTCATTTATTTATTTATTTATTTTTACTTTAATAAATAAATAAATAATTTATAATAAGTTTTCTGAATTGACGTCGATTTTTATTCGGCTTCTTCTTCAATAAACGTGATCGTCTCTTCTAAATCATAAAGTGTTTTTAAATAATTCATATGCGAGAGATATTTTATTTTAAAATGATGGAGTCGTTAAATGAATTTCAATGACGTACAAGTTTAACTAACAATGAGAAACGTGATACTCTTTTGTTGAAAAAAAACAACGCAAAGCAATGCTATTTTCCATTTTCATCTTTCGTACCTGTATACGGCAAAAAAAAAAAAAAAAAAAAGGTGGACAGACAGTGGCGTAGGTATAAAAAAAAAAAAAAAGGTATCGGATGAATAAAATTGATGAAAAGGTTTAATTTTTTTAAATGGAATTAAATTTAAAAAAAAGGAAAAAGAAGGAAAGAAAGTAATAAAAATTATTATTATTATTATTATTTTTACAGTAAAATAAATTCCAGATTTAATTTTTTTTTTAAATATTTATTCATTAATTTTTTTTCGATTTTGAAATTAATTAATTAATTATTCAAATGAATTATTCATACCTGTATTGGCCTGATTTTAGTGAATGAAAACACGTTTTATTAATTATTATTATTATTATTATTATTGTTATTTTATTAATCGATACCTTATCAATTTTTAAAGTTTACCTTATAATTAGTCATCATCTATTGAATTATTTAAGAATTTTAATTTTTATTTATTAATTATTTAAATATTTATTCAAATATTTAACTTCTTCTTTTTTCCCCGGATGAGTTATATGCGATTTGAATTGAATTTATTGACAAAGGAAAGGAGAAAAGGATAAACGAAATCATGTTTTCTCTCTTTTTTTTTTTTTTGTTTTTCCTGGCGATAATTTAAAAAAAAAAAAAAAGTATTCAAACGAACGATTTTGTAACAAAAAAAAATAAATAAATAAATAAAATTATAATTTATAATGGCGGAAAAGGAATATTTTACATCGGATTTTTTTTTTTTTTTAATAACATGGATTGAGAATAAAAGAAAGAAAAAAAAGCGAAAAAAGGAATAAATAAGACATTTTTTTCGGGAGGAGGGAAAGGTTAAAACCTTTTAAAAAAAAAGAATGAAAGAAAATTTTGTTTTTTTTTTTTTTTTTTTGATACAGATTGATTATGACGTTTTTCCCTAAGTTGACCCGTCGGTAACATCAAATTTTTAAAATTAAATTTTCCAATCCGAAACAATTTCCCCCCGCCCTTTCCCTCTTCCCCCCTCTCTCTCTCTCCACCCACGTGTACTAAAAAAAAAAAAAAAAAATTATTTTAAAAGGGAAACCATTTTAAAAATTAAAAAGGGGGCCTATTGTGGTGGGATTTTAAAAAAAATCGTTAACGCGTTTAAAACGTCAAGTGGAGGGAAAAATAAATAAATAAATAAAAGGAAAACATTGCAGAGAATTTTTTAGCCGTTCGGGTAATTTTGTCGCCATTTTGATTTTGATCGTTTGATTGCGCAATAAGCGTTTAGAAACCGTTTGTGGTTTTGTTTAGTGAAACGATTTTGTTTTTTTTTTTTTTTTTTCATTGTTGGGATTTTATTTTTTTGGGATTAATATATATATATATATAAATGTTATCTCTGACAAGTGAAAAAATTTTTAATTTATTGTTATTTTATCTTGTAGAGAAAGATGAGTCGTTTTTTTTTTTTTTTTTGTTTTTAAATCAAAAACTTTACTTTACTTAATTCAAAAAAGTATTATGGCGACCGTTATCGAAAAGAGATTGTGATACTTTTTTTAAATGTTGTCGAAACTAAATAAAATTTGAATATTTGATTATATTTATGTATTTTCTCAGGCAAAGCATTAATTCATAATGGAGATTCGGGATCTCCCAACTTGTCTTCAAGATTGGGAGGACCTTAAAAAGGAATTCAAAGCTTTCGAGGTCCGTACAAACAAATTTTTTTAAAAATTGTTTTCATTGTGTCAAGCATATAATCGAGTTAGTAAAATCTCCCATCTTTTGTAAATTTAAGGCTTTGAGTAAAGAATACGAAGGAAAATTAGAAGAATTAGGGACTTTACAAGGGAAATGTATAAAAGAATGGAATCATCAATCCTACAGGTTGAATCTTATAAGCAAAGGAATCAACAAGTAAGTTTTTTTGATTTATTTTTATTATTTTTTTCAGTTTCACGCGAGGTTTTGTTTTTTTGTTAAATTGTAGATTGAAAAAAGAAATGAAAAATGAATCGGATCCAACATTGGATGATTTATCGAAAAAAGTTGATAGAAGACTTTTGCAACTTCGCGATATCGAACAGACATTACCAAGAGCGAGTAATGGAACTTATTTGAAAATTATTTTGGGAAACGTTAACGTTTCCATACTCAACAAAAACGATAAGTAAATATATATTGAAGGGGGGTGAGTGGGGAGGGAAATTTTTTGGAAATTGGAAAACTTTCAACAACATCATAAAAAACTTTGATTTTGTCTGATTTTTTTTAGGTTTCGTTACAAAGATGAATATGAAAAATTTAAATTGGTACTTAGCATAATTGGACTTTTACTTTCTGTACTTAATTTAATTGTTGTCTGGAGGTAAAATCAATCATTTCCTCGTTTCCTGTTTTCTTTTGTTTAAAAAATTATAATTTTGATTCACATCTTTCAGATCATTGGAATTAATTTTTTTATTCTTGCTCGTTTGGTATTATTGCACTCTGACAATAAGAGAAAGCATATTAAAAGTAAACGGTTCGAGAATCAAAGGTTGGTGGAGGATGCATCATTTTATATCAACTTTTGCTGCCGGTGTATTATTAATATGGCCGAACACGACTCCGTGGTATTATTTTAGGGGACAATTCATGTGGTTTAATTGTTACATTAGTGAGTTTGTCTCTCAATCATTGAATGAATGAATGAATGAAAGTTTTGGGTTTACAATGATAATTCACATTTCATGAAAAAAAATTTACAGCGTTCGTTCAATATCTGCAATTTAGATATCAGCAAGGGGTTCTCTATCGTTTAAAGGCTTTGGGAGAAAGGCATAACATGGATATAACGATAGAAGGTTTTCACAGTTGGATGTGGAGAGGATTGAGTTTTCTTCTTCCATTTTTATTCATCGGTTACATCTTCCAATTGTACAACGCAATAACGTTGTATCATTTATCTTTTCATCCGGAAGCCACATGGCAGGTTCGTCGGTAGAAAAATTAAAATTAATTTTTAATAATTTTTGACGAGAGTATAATTTATGTTTATTTATTTATTTATTTATTTAGATTCCAGTTTTGTGTGCCACGTTTTTAACATTATTTTTAGGCAACACTATAACAACGTGCATGGTCATACCACAGAAATTTAGTAAAAAATTAACGGTAAGTTTAAGTAAGGGGAAAATGACTCGATGAGGAATCATCAATTGTGTTTGAAAATTCAAAAAAATTGAAAAAATATTATTATTATTATTATTATTTTAAGGCCGTTAACGTTCATTCATCAAATTCAGATAAAGAATCAAATTCAATGAACAAAAAATCGGAATGATTCTGATAACAAGAAGCATATTTGTTAAATCGCTGGACGAAGTTAATTGTGCTTTGTTATTATTTATACATATATAATATTTTGGATAAGTTTACATAAGTTACATTAATTTAGCATTTAAGCTGAAATTTTGTGTTTTTTTTTTTTTTTTTTTTTTTCTTAATTATTTAAAATATATTTATATATATATATATAAATAATACGAAGGGTTATACGTAATTATATTTAAGGGCGACCTATTTGTTTGTTTTTTTTTGTAAGTTTTGCTTACCGTTTTAAAACTAATAACTAAAAAAAAAAAAAGGGATTTTTTTGTTTTAATATATGAAAAAAAAAAGTTAATATTAAAAAATATTAAAATTTATTTGAACAAAGGTAACATTAACAAATAAATTAAAATGGAAGACAATTAAAAACCATTAATAATAAATATAACACGTATATATATAACAAAAATTTGAGACGAAAAAAAAAAAAGAAAAAAATTAATTTAATTAACTTACGAATTCTTTCTTTTAATTTATTATTATTATTATTATTATCAATATTATTACTTTTTCTTTTAACATTTAAATAAATAACGTAAAACAACAATTTTAATTGAAATCGATTATTACTACTGTGCTATGTTTCGTAACATCTTCTATGTCAGTTTTTAATTTTTTTTTTTTTTATTGATAAAGAGAAAAAAAAAAAAAAAAAAACTAATCATTTATATTGCAACATCGTGATTATTATTTAAATAATTATTTAATATATCTTATCAGTCAATAACTATTATTACGCAAGGCACTAACGACATTTAATAAAATATATTTTATTTAGTTTTTCTTCCTACTCGTATTTAAAATCCAACAATTATTATTTTTAAATTAATAAATAACCATTATAACAATGTAACAACTAAAAATTGCAATAATTAAAATCCCAAAAACTTAAATTTAATACATTAATTAATAACTTACCCTACTTTTATTATTATTATTATTATTATTTTCATCCTACTTGTTATTAAATTAATTCAACAAATTATTCGTTAAATAATGTGTAAGCCATAGGCGGCAAGCATTTATCATCTAAAGGCACACGGCATTTTCGATTCAAGAATAACTTTTTTTTTTGGCTGTTATTTCGATTTTGGGAGAAAAATTAAAAAAAAAAATTATTATTTGAATTTTTCCCCCTCCTCTCCCTCCGCCCCCTTTTTTTTTCATCCGTTTTGAGCGTTCATAACGATAAGTTTTGTCGCTTTTGCAATTTCGTAAGCGCAATTTCGAATTTGCTGTAAACAATTTGTCGCAACTGTCGTGTCGCAATTTTGCAAGGATCCACATTCGATTTGCAGTCTCGCCGTGTTCGCGCCCAATTTACGAATCAGTTCATCAGGTGGGCTCTAATTAAAATAAATTTATTTATTTATTTTTTAACGGAAATGTCCATTACTTTAATAAAAATTTTATTTAATAAACATTTATTCTTACCTGTGGAAAAATTGCAATGAGTTCAGCGACGGCCACTCTTATTCTTTCTGCACACGGAACAAAAGTTCTCACGTCTCCTTCCAACATGGCCGTCCATAATTCTTTGATTCTTTTAGCGACTTGTTCCGTTCTTCTAATAACATCTTCGTATCGCGGCGTTTCTTGCACGAATAACTGCCTTTGATATATACCTTGAGTAGAATTTTCTTCCGTTTTACCTGTCCAGTATCTCAAACCCTCTCGAGTTTCGTACATTGAAGTAGGTCGAGTACATTTTTGAGTTTTCGAATCCGATACGGGTTCGGCTTCTCCCTCTCCCGACGCTTCGATTCCTCTGGTAAAAGATCTTGCCCTGAGTATTTCATCTTTTAATTCGCGATTTTCTTTAACCAATCCTGCTACCTGTAAATTCCAAAAATTTACAATTATATTATGAAACGTCACTTATACAATATTCGTAAGCAACAATGAACCTACGGTAACTTGCAAAAGTTTTATTTCAGATTGAAGTCGATTTATTGTGGCTTGAGAGGATGTAAGACTTTTCTTGAGGTCATCTTCAGATGCATTTTCATTAGGAAGACCGTTACTTAAAGAAAAGGATGCTCGCTCTGGAGAAATTCCTTTTTCTGCATATGCATAATCTTCATCTGAAGCAACACTGTCGTACAAAGGCTCTTCGTCTGATATTTCTGTTTTAAGCTTATTACCTTAAAAACAAAAGAAATGCCGGTAAGTTTACTTCATTCATAAATTTAAAACGCCTTTTTTTTTTTTTTTTACTTGGATAAATATTTTTTCCTTTTTCTTTTTTTTTTCTCAATACAAATTAAAAAATACTTTTCAAATATTTTACCCGTTAAGTTGTGAGTAGTGTCTCTACGTTTGATCTCTTGCAAAATGTCAAAAATTAAAACGTTGAATTCTTTTTCTGTAAGGCGACCAAGTTTTTGGCGCCCTTGATTTCTTGATGTCGAAAGCTCTGGATGAACTGGTAAGAAAAGTGTTGAGTTATTCGAAATGTGATTTTGTCCTTTATTATAATTTAATAATCTCACATTTTCTGCTTCACGCCTATCAACTTCATCATAAACGTCTTCAATTAGTCTTTCAAATTGACCATTCGATAACTAAATTCCAAAAAAAAAAAAATGATGTTAATTTTTTTTTTAATTCGAATAATATTCAAAAAATAAAATCCACACCTGCTTTTACTGACCTTTTTTAATTTAGTTTTAGCTTCACTGTTTTGTACAGAATCAACAATTGCTAATGATTCATTTTTAAATAAATCAATTTGAGTTAATTGACCTGGTTTCCTTGAACACAAATACTGAGATAACCTATCGGGAACATGATATTTGACTTCCTTTAACCTATTAGCTAAATCGAAATGACCTGCTTCTAATGCACATTCTTCAGGTGTTTTACCAGAGGTGTCTTTTTTCGTTATATCTGCACCATATACAATTAATAATTCTGCTTGTAATGTTTGACCAGATTTAGCAGCAACATGAAGGGGCATGTTTCCTTTTTCCTACATGACAAACATATTTTTCACTTAAACCAAACAATTTTAATTTTCAAGTTGGAAAACATTTAATTTAATTCATGACTAATATTTACCAACATTTTAAATAAGATTTAAAAAAATTACTTTTAATTGTTAAAAAACGATTATTTATTTCATTTTAATAAAAACTATTATTATTACCTGATAAAAGCGGTTAAATCCTTTTAAGAAAACTTTGTAACGATAATGAAAAAATAAAAATATTTTTATCATTTGATAAATTTGTAAGAATATTATTGGATTGATTTAAGAGTTAATTTAATCAGTATAAAATTTATAATAAATAAATTTAATAATCACCTCGTGAAAAAAATTAGGATCAGCTCCTTGGGAAAAAAGATGTAAACTAGTTAGCAAATTAGGGGTTCTCGCAGCGGCATGAAGTTCAGCTCCCAATCCATTAAGCCCATCTGTTTCTAAATCTGGTTGTAATATATATTCCAAATCTTCATGTTTAGCTTTTATAAAATTTTCTTTGTTCGAACTGAAAATGGTTTTTTATAAATGATAAAAACATTTTGTTTTTTGTTGGAAAAAAAAAAAAAAAAAAAAAATTTTAAATACCTACTGCATAGATATAGAAAATTTTGGCTTGCAGTTAACTGTTGGCGAGCCAAGTTCTAATAAGGTGTGCTCCCAAATATTATTGGCACCAGCTTTGTTTAAAGCTTCAACCATCTGTAGCAAAATTTAATATATTTCATTTAAACATATTCAGTGCTTTTCCTACATTTACATATAAAATATGAATAATGTTACCATTAATAATGATGGACTCCACCATTCATGATGTAATGATCGAACCCAAGACACATGGCGTCCAATATTTCTATGAGTACTACAGCAATCATCACATAGTAAAATACCACGATTTAAAGATGCCCATGAAGGTCCTAAAGATTTATATATTTTCTTAAAATTAGTTCTTAAAATCTTATAAGGAAAAAAACTTTTCCATCATTTACTTTTTAATATAATTCTCAAACTGCATTGCCTTTTTACTCGAAAAAATGTAACCAATTACTAAAATTAATGAGTTAATTTAATAATTTATAAATTTTCTTAATGTAATGGAAGGAAAAATTAATTAAAATGAATAAAAATTTAGGAAGTGTTGGGAAAATTCATATTAAATATTTTATTTTCTTTTTCTTCAATTTTTTAAATGTCAAATGAAATAATTGTTACTTTGCAGCATAAAAAAAAATTTTATTTGAAAAATAATACACCTACTACTACTAACTAGCAACCTTTTTACTCTTTCTTAATTACCTGCTTTTCCACAATCTCCACAAATCCTCATATCAATATTTTTTATCCTAATAATTTTACCTTAAAAACCTTTTACTTATTGTTTAGATATAAGTAATTAAAAAAAAAAAAAAAAAAAAAGGCGTTAACAAATTGTTTAAATATATAAATACAAAAGTTTACAAAACATTAATGACTGCAACTTTTTGATTAAAAAACGACTTGTTGCACTTAAAATTAAATTCTTATTATTGGACGAACTCGACGCATTTACCCGCCTTTTTTATTTGATTTAAATTTTCTGAAAATACAAAATAAACAAATGTAGGAGTGTAGGAAAAGCGAAAGGACAACAGGATAATTTTTTTTTTTTTTTTTTTTTTACAAATGATAATGCAAAAATAATTTATTAAAATATTTATTCGTTATTTTCTACATCTTCCATATTTATTTTTTTATTTTGCGAATTGCTTCCGTGTGCTGAAAAAAAAAAAAAAAAAATTTTTTTTTATGTATCACGTGATTAATTGTATAAATTTTTTTTGTAAATTTGTATAAAATTTTACAAACCTGCATTAAATTGTTCGGCAGTTTTTATTCTAAGATTTTCAATGTCATCGTCCACGGCTGCCCATTCAAGAACCAAACGTCTACCGTATAAATGAGTGCTTTGAGAAAGAGAATTAAAAGCTCTCTGGAAATAAAAAAAAAAAATTACATGAATTGATTGAATTAATTGTAATTTTTCCCCGCCCCCAGCTTCGCCCCGCCCCTCTCATCGTTTTATAATACCTTAGCATCTTGAACGGTATTGTATTCGACAAAACAAAATCCACGATGTGAACCAGAACCTACTAATTTTTTTGGTAACCTGATAGCTTTTATTTCACCGAAAACTTTAAATAAATCACCGATTTCACGTTTCGTTGCTTGAAACGGTACATTTCTTACTAATATTTTCGAACTCGGTTTTTCGCATTTTTTATAAGTGTTCCTCGAATTTGTATTTGCAACACTGAAATCAAAAACGCAATTGAATCAATACTTAAAAATAATAATAATAATAAAATTGGGAAAATAAGGGTAAATACTAACGATGTAGTTCTGTTAGATCTTTTTAATTCAATTTTATGATCGTCTAAATTTGTAAATTGTAAAGTTTTCAATGCTTTGTCTGCTTCTTCTTTAAGGGAAAACTCTACAAAGCCATAACCCATCGAAAGACTTTTACCCGGTTCTTTTGGATCTTTTTTCCGTGCTATGGTTACCGACAAAACGGTACCGCAAGCTTCGAAATGCTGTAATTAAGTTTGAATCCATTAATGACAAACGATCAAAATAAGTAAAATTACTTAAAATTTCGTAAATTACCTTTCGCAGTGATGATTCATTGGTGGCAAAATTCAGGTTTTTAACAAAAATGACCGTACCTTCCTCAGGAACGCGTTGTTCTTCAATTGTACCTGTAGTTTTCTGAGTCTCGTTTTCTGCACTTTGATTTTGATTAGTTGATTTTTCACTTTCCAAATTTTCATTACAGGTTTTTTCAATTTTTTCCACGGGTTTGGCTTCGGTCGAAAAAACTTTTTCCGGAGCCCATTCTAAATAGAGAGGAACGTGTTTAAATTTCGAATAAGAAAGACGACGAAAAGCTATTCTCGCTTCTGACGGCTCAGCAAATTCAACGAGAGCTGCCACGCCGGACGGAGGTACCACAACTCTACTTAACAATCCGAATTTTCTAAATTTTTCACTTATTTCTTCCGACGTAGTGCCGAAGGGTAAATTTTTAACGAGGATGACAGTGTTCGATCGGGGTGAAACGGACATGTTTTCAAATGAGTCCAAACAAACATTGTTTTCTTCCAAAAACTCTTTCATTTTATTAACGAATTGCGTTTCTCCTAATGCAAGTCGCACAGCTGCTCCACTTTTCTTATCATCAAGAACGCTTTCTTTAGATGTTTTATATGTGGCAGCAACGACTTCTGCCAAAGCATTTTCTCCAATAAAAAAAGTATTCCAATTCGCTGTCGAATTAATTTTTGATTGTTCTTTTTTCATTTTTTTTTTCTTAAACGAGTCCTCTAAAAAAAAAAATAATTTCTTCAACCATTTAATTGATATTCTTTTTTAAACTTATCGAATTAGGTTCCTAAAAAAAAAAAAAAAAAAAAATTACCATTCAAATCCTCTTCTGAAAATTCATTATTAGGAAGGGCTGGAAGAAGATGAAGCATTCTCCCTGAGAAAATCGTGCCATCTAATTCATTATAAGCTTTGCAAGCATGTTCTGGGATGAGATAAGTTACAATACCAAATCCTTTCGGTTTTCTTGTGAATGAATCAATAGGCAATATAAACTCAATGACAGGACCTTAAAATTAAAATCACATTATGTAAAACAAAAGGGGGGGAGGGGCTCCCAATTTATTTTTTAAAAGAAATAACTGAAAGCATACCATATTTTTCAAACACTTCCTTCAATTCATTTTCAGTAACTGTATATGGTAAATTACGAATAAAAATTCTACCAGATTCGGCAACAGTTTCCGATTTTTTTAATCTTTCATTTTCGGCTTCCCACTTTTTTTCTTTTTCATTAACCTCAGCCATATTGTCTTTCCTTACTTCACTAACATAAATTCTTTTTCCACCTACAAAAAAAAAAAAAAAGTTTAAGCAACTTTAAATAGATTGATTCAGTTCAAATTTTTTGTAAAATATAAACAAAAATTACCTAAAAAACTTTTATTTTTTCTCAAAGCTTGCTTCATTTCTTTTTCAGTTTTAAATCCGCAAAAAACAGTTCCTCTCATCCTTAATGCTTTTCGAATAGAAAAAGGTTTGTTAGGTTTTAAAAACTCTTTAATTTGACTTTTTTTTATTTCTAATGGTAGACCTCTGAGCTTAATTGTAAAAAGTTCAATATTTAAAGCTTCTTTACCATTTTTTTTTAATTTGACAGAACTTTTCGATTCTGTTTTTATTAAAATGTTTTGACCTGTTTTTAATTTTATATATTCTGAATCAGGAATATCTTGGTTGGCTAAAACATTTGTTTCTTCTTTGTTGTTTTCACTGTCCTCATTTTCATTCTTGTTTGTATTTTTTATTTCTTCTTCTACATTTTCTAATTTTTTATCAGAATTTATAGAAAGATCTGGAACATGGATTTTCATGAATTCAGAAAATAAATCATCATTTTCATGATTTTTTAATAATTCTTTAACCTCTTTATCTTTAATTTTTTCTTTTTCATTCATTTTTAATTTTTTTTTCGATTCATTATGATTAATCTGTGTTTGTTTTTTTTTCTTTTTAGCAACATTCTCAGGAGCATATTTACTCCACGGCCTTGGTTTATTAGGATCTCCTAATTCAGCACAAGTCTCCACCTAAAATTAAATATCAAAAAGGTAAGTGCTATATAATTTTTTTCTTTTTTTTTTTTTCTCCCAATGAATTTTCAAATCGTAATATTTAGTTTGTTGAAAAACTATGAAAGTTAATTTTTTAAATTACAGTTTTATAATGGGATAATTTACTTGAATTTTAGACATGTTAATAAATGTCTTATTAAGTGCAGCTTTTGCTTTTTCCGCATATTCTGGCTTTTGAAAACCAATAAATGCAAATTTTCTAAATTTTCCTTCTTTTGTATACTTTAGTTGTACATCTGTCACAACTCCTTGCTCACTAAATATTTGATGTAATTTTTCTTTGGTTATCTAAAATATTAACATAACAATAATTAAATTGAAATTTTTTCACAAAATCAAAAAAAAAAAAAAAAAAATGAAATATTTTAATATGCTCACCAAACCAGGTAAATTTTTTACAATCAATCTCGACATTTTAACTCACAAAAAAAAAAAAAATTTACAAGTTATTAAAACTTTAAGTTTAGTGACATGTATAAGTAAAAATAATTTCTACGGTCTCTCACATGTACGATAACGCAATACTTATTTAGCGCAAAATATGATTCATAGCAAAATTTAAATATCAGTTAGTGAACGTCATAACAACACATGGTGCGACAGGTTCGAATAAAAATCTCATATTTAAACGTTTTTAATTTAATTTTTTTTTTAACTTTTTAACAAATTAATTAACGTTAATTCGTATGTAATTTATTTACAAAATGAATAAACCTACTTCGATGTATAAATTAAAACGGGTTTTCGATTTGCCAGAAAAATTAGATCTACCAAGTTGTATGTATAAATTGAATAACCCTGTCGCATGCGTTACGAGCGATGGCGACAGTAAAATTAAAAATCAAGAAGTTCTAAATGGTATTATGGAAAAGGTTAACTTTGTGTTAAAGGTTCAAAAATGTTTAAATTATTGCACTAATAACGAAAATAGCCATATTTTATTCGGTGTCATTTTTTTTTATTCAGGCTTTATTTTTTTTTTAAATTGGATTAGTTCCAGTTAAAATTTACTGTTAATTGCCGTTAGCCATTTTTAATGCTAAAAATACAATTGACTCGTTTTTTACGAAATTATTTCATTTGTAAAAGCTTATCATCGAAAATAACGTAACACACTGTAATTTAGTTATAACAAAGTAAACACATACTTTACCAAAATTACATAAACATGTTAAAAGTAAAATTATTAGATTTGTCATTTGAAATATTTTTGAACTGGTTAATATCGAATAGAATTTTTTTTTAAATTTAGTATTTTATTAATCCGTTATTAAAATTTAGGAACCGATACCGGGATTAGAATCTTTAGAAGCAAGATGGGATGGGCTTCTTCGACAACTTTTGGAGCTCAAATCCCAAATGGGGGATATAAGGAAGACGCTTGAAAGGGCATGTAATTTTACAGGATATCAATTAATTGACAGCACTGCACTTAATAACTTAAAGGTAATTATCATCATTTCAAATTTAAATTTTAACAAATTAATATTTTTAAAAAAACATAATAATCAAATTTAACAAAATGTGTCGTGAGAATTTTTTTTTTTTTTTACATTCAGCACTTTGTATTTAAAATGGTTTTAGATATATGATGGAGCTGTTGTTAATGCTAGTCCATCCAATCCTCCTTATTCATTACTTTTACTTAAACATCTTTGTAAAACCTCTGTTCCGATACTTTTTAAATGTCATACACATTCGAGCGTGTCAAATTTACCAGACGAATTAAAGTACTTTGAGGAATTGCAAAGTGAACAAAATAAAAATTTATTAAAATTACATCTTATTTGGAAAAATGGTAAATATTTTTAATAATAATTAACATTATTTACTTGATTGATTTTTTTTTTTAAAATGGGGAAATTTTATGCTGTGTTTTAGATCTTATAGATACAGAATTTGTAACTAATCCTGTTAAACAAATACCTATTAAAGGAGAAGTTAACATACTTAGGCTTCTTGCTTGTTCCGGATTAAAAGTGTTGAAATATCCTTGCGATGATTTTCTTAGCACAATTAAATGTGATTCAGCTTTAGATGTTTGCCATCAATTAATACACACTCCAATAGGAAAAGAAAGAAATCCTTTGATTAAAAGTTTAAGCGAAAAACTCGGAGGATCATTGTATTTTGGTGGTAACGATATTGATATTGTCGACATTTCAGCATGGTCTGCATTAAAACAAACTACTCAAAAACAGGGCCTTAGTCAAAACTTGAAAAATTGGTATCAAAAAATGGATCAAATATTGTTTTGAAAATAAAGTTTGGTTTTTTTTTTTTTTGTTGTTGTTGAACGAATTCCCAAGCAATATTTTTTTAAATGGACTTCCTTTCATTTCAATTAGTTTTGTTTGATTTAATGAAAAGGAAATTTTTTTTTAAAAAACTTGATTATCGGTTAACTCATAGAATTTTTTTCGACTACTAACTAAAATGAATATTTATCAAGCGTATTGAAGGTAACGTTTATTAATAAATTTTTAATTTTTATTTAATTTTTTTTAAACAGTTTATTATATTTTGATTACACATATCATAAAATAATTATTTTTATGTATTTGTACAATATTTATTGGAAGACTCATTTTGGAAGACATTTATTGCGAATAAAAGCAAAAAATATGGTTTACAAATTTTTTTTTTTTTGTTTCTTTTAAAACTTATCTAACGTATTCGTTTGATTAATTTTTTGTAATAGCTTTATTTCTAGATACTATTGGTATTTAAAAAATTTTTCCGATTCGGGGGAAACTCTTTTACTTTGTTTCTTTTAAAGCCGTTCTAAACTTATCTAAAAATATGTAGGCATGCTGAGGTGCAAAAATTAACGCCGGTCTAAGTCTTATAGATTGATCTCCGCAGCCTCCAGCTTGAACTCCTTCCATTTTTAATTTGGCCACCAATTTATCCCTGATCTGAGGAGAAGAGCATGAAATTGCCAAAAACGTACCACGTCCTCGAGCAGAATTTATTAAATGCGAATATTCATTTTGAAGTTTTTTTAATTCCGAAAGTAATATGTCTCCAGATTTTTGAACGAGAGAAAGAAGATTGTCTCTTTTGATGACGTTAATAACGGTTTCTAAAAGAAGTAATTTACTGGGATCACCCATCCAAGTGTTAAATATTCTGTACGGTTGATCAGGTCTGAAAATCAATTTTAATTTTATTATTATTATTATTATTTTTTGCACGTGTTAACAAATTAAATTCGTTTTAGCGTACTTGAGTTCTTTGCTGTGAAAAAAACCTCCTAAAAACATTTTTTTACTGAATGTCACAACGTCGGGTGGAGAATCTAAATTGAAATGTTCGTGACACCACATTTTACCAGTTGGACCTCCTCCTGTTTGTACTTCATCAATCAATAAAGCCGCTCCATATTTTTTACCGATTCTTTGAAGTTTTTGAAAAAAATATGGAGATGCTTCGTTATCACCTCCTTCTGCTTGAATCGGTTCGCTTACAATTCCAGCGACGGGAATTCCTTTTTTTTCATATTTAACAATTAAATCTTCAACTTGGGCTAAACATTTCTCATCTTCTTCGGCATTTTCTCTTTCATTTTCTTCCAATGGATATTTATATTTTGGAAAATTAGCAATGGGCCAGTCAAAAGCGGGAATATCTATTTTATGAATGTATTTGGAGTGAGTCGTGGATAGTACTCCCAATGTTCGGCCGTGAAAAGCTCCTGCGTAAATATTAATTAATGGTTCTCGTCAAAAATTATTCTGCATTACATTTTTTTTGTTAAATTTTACCTTTAAAGGACAGCATAGAAAGTTGAGGAGCTCCCGGTGGTAAATTTATCATGCAAGATGTTTTCTCCTGTTCAGAAAAGGTAATATTTTCTCCTCTTTGATTTTTTCTATACCAAATGAAAATTTGTTTGTATGCATTTTCATTAGAACAAGATCCACACGACATGGTGGTGACATGATCCAGTCCTTTTGGCGCTACACCGATTAATACTTGTTTTAATTTTTCCGGCCAATCCGCACCGGGGAAGACGCCCAAAGCTGGTCTATTGATCATGACTTTCTGGAAGAGGTGGAGAAATCAATTTTAAAACATTTTGATGAATGCATAGCAAATGACAAAATGATTTTTTAACGTTACATACTATATTTTCAAGTTTTTCCATGCTTTTCAATAATTCCGGATGATTGTATCCTATGGGAACGGATGATATTTGAGTGTATACATCTAATAAAATATTTCCATCCACATCAACCAAATAGTTTCCAAGGGATTTGTTATAATCTGCAAATAACTGTACGGAATTGCATTGTTGAACTTCATTAAGAGATTCTAATAATTTTTGTGAAGCAGGTCCTGGAATAATTGAAGTTTTAACCGACGGTCCCTTAGCCTCTCCTGGAACTCCAGTATAATGTCTTAAGTACGCCCCTGAAACATTCATTTTCTCATTTCTCAATAATTAACTCAAACACAAAAAAAAAGAAAATTTTAATGTAAAATTATTTTTTACCTAGACTGTTTCTGACCACGGTTTCTTGCGTCTTGAAATTATTTGATGAAAAAAACGTTTTTGATAATAATTTAGAAGTCATATTTTTTTAAACCTTGATTTATAAAAAAATCTAAAAAAAACAACAACAAATTTATATGTGTGAAAAAGAAAAAAAATTTTTCGAACACAACCGAAAAGGAAGAGAAACGTTATAATAACTAATAAAATCGTCTATTTTATTATTATTATTATTATTATTATTTAACAAGGTCGTATTAATAAAGCACTTGTTCCAATAATAATATTTCAGAAGAATTTTTCATTTTTAATTGGGTCGATCGGTTATTTTTAAGAAATTTTTTTATTTATAATATAAAAAAATAAATTTATACATCCATAATAATTTTTCTTACTACTAAAATTATTATTATTATTTTATTTAAAACGATTTCCACTTTATTACGATATTAACTTGATTATTTTATTTATTTAAAAAAAAATGGAAGACGAGATTTTTATAAATATATATATATATATAATTTAAAAAAAATAATAATAAAAAAAAACGATTCTTATAAAATCGATAATGTAATTCTTATATATATATATATTCAATTCGTGAGTATAACATGAATTTTTCTCCATATAATCTATTGCCACGTTTTTTTTTTTTTATTATTTAACCGACAAAATTCGAATCTAGGGGTTGTTTGTTTGTTTGTTTTCTTTTTTTTAACGGTTTTCTAATACTAATAATAATAATATTTATACTTGCGCGCGTATTTTTAACTTGATAATCAAATTAAATTTATTTAATAAAACACATAAATTCCATTAAAATTAGTTTATTTATAAATAAATAAATAAATTTCTTAGGGTAAATAATAATAATAATAATAATTTTAGAATAAAAATAAAAATTAAATAAAAAAAAACAAATGGAATTTTTCTCTCTCTCTCTCTCTCTCTTTTTCTTTTCGTTTTAAATTAAACAACCGAATAAAAAATAAATTTTAAAATTATTTACCTTTAAATCGATTTATATATAATTATTATTATTTTAAATAAAATTTAATAGATTTTATTTATATTAAATAAAAATCCGACGGCACAAGTACGAGTTTTAACTTGCTTATAAAAATGGCGTCTGGGTTGTTATTTTAATTTATTTATTTTAAATTTTAATAATTTATTATCGATAACCCGGTAAATTATTATTATTATTATTATTATTATTTATATATCGTGACGAAAAACGATTTTTTTCTTTTTTTTAAATATATAATAAATCATTTCTTTAATATGATATTAAATAAATTAATGATTAAATTTATGGAGAAAAATGGAGTTTTGAACGAATAAATAAAAATGTAGGAAAATAATTTTAAAAATTAAAATATTTAATAAATTTCTTTTTTTTTTTTTCTTTTCTTTTTTGATGAGTAAATTTTTCTTTTTTTTTTTTTTTTTAATTTAAAAATTTTTTATATATAAATGATAAATATATATGTATATACGTTATTTATATACACATAAAAATATGCGTGCGTGGGTGTGTGTGTTTGTATTTATATCCAAATATTATTATTATTTTCTTAAAAAAAAAACGCATGCACACGCACACACTCTCTCTTCTCTCTCTCTCACACACACACCCACGCACACACATGTATATACATAAATTTTTTTTTTTTGTTATTTACCGACAATATTAATTACCTAAGAAAAAAAAAAAATTCTAAATAATTTTCAAAAAACCAATTTTTTTTAACTACATTAATATTAAAAAAATATTTACAAATTTTTTATTTTTATTTATTTTTATTTTATTATTTAAATCCCAGGCAAAATATTTATAAATTATTTATTTATTAATTAAATTTTCCCCCGTCAATAATCGATTTACAATTATTTTAATAAATATTTTCAATAAAAAAAAAAATAATAATAATAATAATAAAAAAACAAACAAACAAATGAAAATATATTTATATATAGAAGAGGATAAAGTATAATTATTATTATTATCATCATTGATATTATTGTGATATATTATTATTATTATTGTTTGTTTATAAATAATTTCTTTCTTTTCATTCGTTCTTTGCAACAACAAAAAATTAAAGGGAAGGCAATAAAAATAAAAAATATAAAATAAAAAATAAACGACCAAAAAAAATTAATTAATTAATTAATTAATTTCAATTTTTTTTTTTTTTTAATAATAATAATAGTAATAATTACGAAGCAGAAATTATGTATATATAAAAAAATAATAATAAGCAAAAAAAAAAAAAAAAAAACAAACATTGAAAATAGTTTAGTTATAAAAAAAAAAAAAAAAAAAAAAAAAACATGATTTTATTAAAATAAAAAGAAAAAAATAATCAAAAATAATAATAATAAAGTTCCTACTTTTATTACTGAAAAATAAAACGATCACCATCATCATCATCATCATCATCAACAAAAAAAAAAAAAAAAAAAAATATTCAGAGCCTTTAAAAAAATTAATAATAATAATAATTTAAAAAAAAAAAATTTTTTTTTTACCCCCTAAAAAAATTTTTTCTCCTTTTTTTTACTTCCTTTTTCTTCCTTTTTACAAATAAGGTTCTGAATATATTTTTTTTCCTTTTTTTATTTGTACAAAATAATTTTTGTTAAAAAATATTTTTTTTATACTGAAAATCTTATACTTTGGTCTCCTAATATATATATATATTTATATATATTATACAAAGCAGAAGATTTTAAATATATATATAAATATATATATTCAAACGTATAAAACCGTTATATAATAATAATAATAATTATTCGAGGCGTTTTCGGCATTTTTTCTCATTTTGTACTCAAAACTACTGCTTCATTATCTACACATATATTATTATTATTATTATTTATTTATTTATTTATTTATTTATCATACACATGACTTTTTCACTGAAATTGTACATTTTTTTCTCTTCTCTTCATTTTTTTTTTTTTGCATTCTCTATAAATTATTTAAAAAAAAAAAAAAATGTCTATACAATTAATCAATTAATGTCATTCGCAATTTTTTTTTTCTCTTTTTCTTTTTCTGTCTTTTCTTTCTAAAACGCAATGGCAAATATTATTATAAATATTTATTTACAAGTCAAAGAACAAAAAAAAAAAAAAAAAAAAAAAACAATTTCCGACTTTTTCCCGCCAATTTTCCTTACCCGATAACTAACTAACTAACTAATTAACTAAATTAATTTTTTGTCAATCAGTACTGGAGGAGTTATCTTAATTGTCATTCGTGTTATCAATTCTTCTTTTTTTCCATCGTTTTAATTAATTAATTAATAACTCGTGTTATACTATTTATTTTCGACAATTTTTTCTCTTAGTCCTTTCACTTTTTGTACAAAAAATGATTCTAAACCTTCGGCGCACCGGAAAAAGGGAGATTCCTTTGAATTGTAATACCGACAATTATCGAAAAGCTTTGTTACGTCACCGATAAATTCACTTAAATTTTTATAATGTTTTTCGTTTATCCTTAATTCTACCGTTTGTAAATCTGTAAGAAATAAACAAAAAAAAAAAATTTTTATCGTTTCTTCATCATTTCGAATAATAATAAATGGTGTAGGAATCGTCGTCTGCTTACCCATGGGTTCTTTGATTACTTTATAGTAATCGGGTGCTTCCGTCGGATCGACGGGTTCCATGAACGGCCAAGCACTTTTATGTCCTTGCATTTGCTTGACCAATTTTTTCAACGCTTCGTAATCTCTGTTATTTAATTTTTTCATGTTGGCAAAATTTATGTTGGAATCCACTTGACAATTCGGACAAATGTACTCGTCGATGTTGTCCGCCTCGGATTGAAGAATGCCGACGCACCGACCGTGAAACCAATCCTGACATTTGTCGCAACAAATATAAAATTGAGATTCGTCGTATGGTTGCTTGCACAAACAGTACAATTCTTTTGTTTCTCTCGCGTGACGACATTCCGTACAAACAAATTCCGTCATTCTTTTCGACATGCTTTCCGTGATTCCGACGCAGTCTCCGTGGTACCAATTATGGCACAAATCACAACCCACGTAAAACCTTTCAGTTAAAATTTAAATAATTATTACGATATATATATGCGTATAAATAAAACGAACGGTACAAATTTCTTACTTTGTATCATCGTAGGGCGTCCTGCACACGCAGTATAATTTTTCCTTTTTCCCCGTTTGACTCGATGACGGTGGACTCATCGAATTGGATTGTAATCGACCGGACGACTTTTTAGGACGTCCCGAAACGCCTCTGGACCCCGATTTGGGGGGTTGAAGAGCCGCAGCGGGTACCGGAACCGATTTCCGTTTTCCACTTCCCGTCCTTATGACTTCTTCCGTTTTATTTTCGTGCTGCTTCGAACGCGAACTCAATTCCACGCTGATTTCCCTTTGAATATCTATTTGCAATTCCTTCTCCAATAAAGCTCTCTTCTTTAAAATATCTTTTTTCAACAGTTCCTTGTGCCTGAATAATAAAACATTTAATTTTGACTGCGCTGCTTGTCGTCTCTTCTCTTCTTGATTCTCTTTCCATTTTTGCCTCGACCTTGAATTTTTCTCATCGATTCCATCCGCTTTCGTGGGACTAAAAATTTTCAATACTTATTTTAATACTTATTACACATTTAAAAAAAAAAAAAAAATGGAAAACGATTAAACTTACGATTTTATTTCTAATTTAGGTTCGAATTTGGTTACTTTTTTAGGACGAGATATTTCATAATCGTGATTGTTTCCCTGTACGGAAGAAGGTCTTTTTCTAGGTTGAGGTCGCGTTATAACGGGATTTACGGGTTCATTTTTCATTTGTTTTTCTTGATACCTTTGTAATTGAATTAGCTTTTCTTCTATTTCCGGATTTAAATTTTCCTGCTTGAGAGCATTTTTTATGGCTAAAATAATAAAGTTTGATCATGTAATCTCATAAGTTAATCTTACTATAATATTCACGGTATTTAATAAAAAAAAAAAAAATTTTTTTACTTTGATGAATGTAATCGTGAGTCAAAATAAATTTCTTTTGCTGTTGACCATCCGGAGTTTGATTTTCGCAATTTTCTTTGGGTAACGTTTCCGCCGCGCTGTTGTCTTTCGTTGGTGACGCTTCCATTTGTTTAGAATTGTTGTCCGTATCCGTTGTCTCTCCCTGCATAACGCAATTAAAAAAAAAAAATTAAAAACTTGCATTAACCGTTTAAAAATTTTAGATTTTTTATATTGAAGTGAAAAAAATTACTTCTTCGGTTTCCAGATTTTCCGCCACGTTTTCAATATGCGAATTAGCATTTTGCCTAACTATTACACTTTGATTTCCTCCTAATTGAGATTTAAGGGAATGTTTAACAACAACATTTTGCTGTGATTCTTTCGATGGAGTCATATCTTCACCACCACCAAGTCCTTGCGAACGAATTTTAATCAACTATAATTTAAAAAAAATTTTTTTTTTTTTTTAAATTAAATTAATTATTTTCGAGTATGAAATTTTTTTTTAAAAAAACTCTTACTTGTTGCTGTGTTTGTTGCATTTGCTGTTGCGGTAGCGGAGTACCCGAGAGAGTTTTTTTAGCAGTATTTTGCTTAACCAATATTTTTTGATTTTGCGGTGTAAGTAATGTTTCCTCATTGACAGGTGAATTACCGGATTGATTTGTTTGCGGGGGAGGTTGCACTGCCAGATAAATCTTAGTGGGACCCAAAACACCTTGTTTTCCTGTCGTCGCTTGATCTGTACAACAAAAAAAAGATTAATTTCATAAAGAATTTAAAATCTTTTTTTTTAAAATCATTAAAAATATATTTACTTTTTAAAAGTTGCTGTTTCACTTGTTGCTGAACTAAATTTAACTGTTGCGGTGTAAAATCAGCTCCCTGAATTCCCTGTAAAACTATCCGGGGACCCTCGGAAGTTTGAATAACTTGAGCCGTTACACATTTGATGATGGTTCCCGGCGGTTGACTAACCAGTAATTGTCTTTCTATTTCACTGTTGTGATCAACCAGTACCGTCGAAGCTAAGGGATTGTTTTCTTGAGTCTCCGCCGATTGATTTCGCATTTCGACTTGTGATTCGTTATTTGAATCCGAATTTTCTATCGCGTCCATTTCTTGATTGAATTCCGCTGAAGACTCGACAATGCTTTCGTTCGATGTTTTTTCAATCATTTCCGAATTAACATTTTGCTCTAAACTCCCTTGCAATCTCGATTGTAAAATTTTTTGGTTTGATGACACTGATAGTTTTGCGGAAGCAGTCCTTTGGTTTCTTAAAACTTGTTGACGAAGTTGTTGTTGTACTAATTGTCTCGAAGGAATTTCTTCCGTCATAATATTTGATTCTGAGTTTTCATCCTTTTGCGTTATTTGAATCAAACCAGTTTGCGTTTTGCAATAATTTTGAGAACTTATAGGAGTGTCTTGCGTCGCGGAAACTTGAACATTAGAAGATTTTGGAGTCGAAGGAGATGATGACTGTGCCGACTTGGTAGGTGATAACAATTTTTGCAAATGGTTTGTTGTTGCCTGTCGAACAACGTTTCCGGCTTGTTTAATTATGATATTTCCAGGAGTTACGGATGTTTGCGAATTCGTATTCAATGCATTGTTCGTCGAAGTTGTGCGTATTAAAACCTGTTGACCGTTCAGCGTGGCAAGTTGTAATTTTCCTTCTGCTAATTGCTGAGCCAAAACCGGATTGTTGACCACCACCGACCCACTTTGTATCAAAGCAGGAGCATCAGTCTGATTAACGGTTCCGGAATTCAAAGTCGAATTTTGTACAACGGTTGAAGCCAAAGAAGTGGTTGAAGCATTCGACACACTTACAGCGATCGGTCTCTGATTCGAAATAGCTACATTTGATTGAGTTTTATCATTTCGCGGAATCAAATTTTGAACCCTTGACGTGATAACCACTTGACCCTTTTCGTTAGTGGTGCCAATAACTTGATTTCCTCGCATCACCACAGAATTAGGGGTAAAAGTTTGACCGGCAAATATATTTTGGGTTGTTTGTTGAGGTTGTGATAAAACGACTTTTGTACCATCTTGCTTGAGAATGATACTCTTATGAAAATTTTGTTGCAATTGTTGTTTTAAATTTTGTCCCGAAGGAACGACTCGAACCTGCTGACCTTGAGCATTTTTCACTATTATTTGAGCCGGAGAAGTAATTCCACTTCCTTCCGTACGAGTTATTTTAGTGTTGCTAGGTGTTTGAACGAGAGTCGATTGACCACCGACGGTTGTTGACGGTTGCGTTTGCGATGAAATTTGCCCAGTCAAAACGTGAAGTTTTCCATCGGCCATTTGAATTAATTGCTGTCCAGGAACCAAACCTCTGACTTGAATTTTACCGTCGTTACCACGAATGATTTGTACTCGCTGCGGATGCTGAGATAAAGGAGTTGTAGTAACCAATTGACTTTGAATGTTTTGCTGTGAAGCGGGAGCAAGTTGAATAGTTTGAGACGGTTGAACACCTCCTTGAATACTAAAAGTGTGCTGATCAGTTTGAGGTTGAATTTTAATGAGACTTTGTTGAAGATTTCCAGCTGCAGTTGTTTTTTGAACCAAAGTAGCAGGAGACGTGACAACTTTTGCAGTGCCATCTTTTGACATGTAAATTTTTCTGGTAGCTATAAGGGTTTTATTTACTGGAGTATTCGGAGGAGTAAGTATGGAAGTTAAGGTATTTTTCCCACCGTGAACGATTGGTTTTGTGACAACTTTTACTAACGATCCATCCGCGGTAACTTGCTGACCTGGGAGAAGCTTAATTATTTGTCCCCCGGTTGTTTTAACCATGGTTTCTACGCTTTTTTTTTGATAATGAGCAGCGCGTTGAGCTCTCAGTTGCATTTCCATTTTTTCTTTGATTTCTTCAGGAGTTCCTTTAGTTATTATGTTTTCCGCTTTTATGGTGGAAGCTTCAATTTTTATTTCGGTTTTAGGCGTCAAAGTTCCCGTGCGACTCCTCGTCAACGTCATATTATTAGTTTTTTCTAATTTATCACAATATTGTTTAATTTCCCATAGTTCTAATTTATCTTCATCGACCCATTCTTCAGACACCTGAGGCTCCGTATTTTGAGGAGTTTCTTCCCGTTTTCTTTTTCGCAAACCACTCCTTATGGGATTGACTTCCCTGATGGTTTTCGGCAACTCCAAAGGTATAACAATTTTCCTTCTAAGGTATTGCGTTTTTTCTAAATTTTCACCTAAATGCCTGTGTTTAAGTATTTCTAGAGTCATAATTTCCGTATCGGTCGTCACTTGATTTTTACCATCGGTTGATTGAGGTTTTACTTGCATGTCGTCCCAACGGAGACACGCCCATAAAATACGTAACTGCAGAGAAATGGCTGGTATTGATTGAATTGTTGTAGTTCTGTACAGCCAACAAGTTTTAAAAAGAGGTTTCGAATTAGGATAAGGCCATTGCCAAGTGTTACTTTTGGCAAGATGATGAAATCCATTGACCGTCAATTTTCCACCATTTCTGGCAAGTTTTCTCAGTTCCGATTTGGGCAAAATCATAAGACTGTATTGCCCGTGTTTACTTAAAAATGTTGAATACAAAGGATATTTCACAGGAGTTTTCTTTCTCCTTCGATCTACAATCGCAGTCGTTAATTTTTTTAAATAAATTTTACCCCTAGTATCGGTGACGGAGTAAACTCTTTCCACTTCACTTCCATCTTCCAATTTCACTTTTTCCAAAACTTTAAAATTATCTAATCCACTTTTGCTTAAACCACCCTTCACATTTTGTTTTAAATCTTCCGAAACTTCCGTTTTTTTAACAGATAAAATTTTATTTAGTAATCCTTCAGATTTTACAGCTTGACCATTTGTTATCATATTGCTTTTAATCGTTTGTCCGCTGTCGAATCCGATAATTTTGTTAGGACTGTCATTTTCTATATCTATTTCTTCTTCTTTTTTCATCGTGTCATCAGTCGTAACAACCTCTTCTCCACAAATTACAGTATCCATGGATATGACTTCTTCTTCCAAGTAAGATTCAGGTACTTCTTCTTTAACTTCGAGTTTTGAGGAAACTTTTGAAAAATCTATTGAATCATCTTCAACATTTTTGGCTGTAGCCACAGCATTTACCAACTCTTTTTTAGCCGCTTCGTTTAATTCGCCTGTTGCGTTTTCTACGTATATATAAAAAAAAAAATTTACGTTAAGGTTATCTCATATATACATGCAAAAAATTAAAATTATTAAAAATTATTGTGAATGAGTTAGGAAAAATAAATTTACCTTTAACGTTTTTCATATTTTTTTCAGTCGTAATTAAAACGTTTTGTAGTGTTTGAGAATCTGTTATTTCTTGGGCCGATTTTAAAAGGGTAGCCAATTTCGCTTTTAATGCATTTTGAAGGATGCACAAAGGAGAGTAGCAAAGTAAAACTCCAGATGAATTATTTCTACACGAAACTGAATAGCACAAAGTTTTTGAAGTACTGACTTCTTTATATCGCTTTTTGCATACCAATATTTCTTGAGCAATTTCAATTAATTTATCTTGATTCGTTGACGAAGATGCAAAATCAAAATTTTTTTTATCTTCGTCTAAAGCTTCAACGTCAATGTCTGAATCAAGCTTTTTTGAATCCATTTCTTGACAACTAGAATTGGCAACCATGCCCATTTGAATAAATTTCCGCTCTTCTAATAATTTTAAATTACTCCGCCTGAGTAAAAAATCATCCAACTTGGATTTTTTTGCTATTTTGGGATACTGTAACCTTCCCGGAGAAGTTAAAGCTTTAGTAACATCAATCGTTTCGAATTCCATTATGGGCCGAAAAACTCTTAAATTGTTTAATCTTTTATCCGTTTCACTCTCTTTTGACCATTCTTGTTGATTCGATTCGTTGGAAACTTCTTCTTCGCCTTTTTGAATGTCTTTTTTCTTTTTGTCTGCTTCTTCGTCGGTATCACATTTTTTTAATAAAAATGCATAGGTTCCGGGATCCACGGCCAACAATTTAACACTAATACCATCCTTCACTTGAACCATAATTTTTTGCGGACCAGCTCTTAAACCCATAGTTCTTGCATCTTTTATAATTAATTTTCTAGTACTAGATAACCACCTCCAACCCCACTGCCCGTGAATACGATACTCTTCACCTTTTTGCTTTTGAACTGAATGTTTCAATCCGAGCGTGTATTTTACAAAATTAATCGCCAATCTGTTTCGTTCTTCTTCATCTTCCTTTTCTTTTTTCTCTCTTTTCTCAATTTTTTTCCTTTCTTCTCTTTCGATCGCAGTAACTCTGTGTAATCGAACATGCCCCAGTTGCTCGTGCCAAACCGAAGCGTATACCACTGGTTTAATACATGCCTGTAAAACAACTAATGCCTTGCCAAAATCTTTTGGCTGAATGCACGACTGAACGCAGGCAATCCAAGTTTTCCTTAGCAGAGGCCAGTTAACGTGTAAAAAAGATGTTGGGATGTTACTTTCGAGTTGGAGTATAGTTTGACGCAACGTATTAATAAGTAAAGCTTTTGGTCCTAAAATGAAATCAATATTTAATTAAATTTAAATAATTAATTTTAAAAGAATTAAATTTTTTTTTTTTTTTTTTACCGAAAACACTTCCAGCCCATTTGAATTCTGATGCAGCCGTAAGGGAAAATTTATGAGATAAGTGACGTTTTTTATCTCTTTCTTCGTTTCTTTGAGGTTTGTTTAATGCGTAAATATTGCTCGTATATTGATTTACGTAGTTCTTGCAATTATTATCTTGACCAAGCTTAAAAAGAAAAGTTCCAGAAGCTATTTGTTGAGCTCTGTAACGAGTTAATCTCAAATTTTCTAATTCTTGCAAAGCTCTCTTTTCTGACAACGACTTTTCTTTATCTTCTTTTGATACGATGGTTGTACTTCTCCTTTTTAAATCATCTATGTCATAAGTTTGAGGTTTTAAAGAGCCTGTTTTCGACCTTGTCAGCATATTTTGTTTTTTTTCTTCGTTTTCCCCGTCGATATTTTCATCACCGTTATCAATACTTTTAACAGTGACACAACTCGTTTGATTACTTGAGGAATTAGTGCTTTCAACCGTGGTTTCTATGCAGTCTGCAGGGTTTTCAATAAGAGTTTCCGACGTTCCACCAATTGTGGTCTAAAATTTGTGAAAATATTCGATTATTATTATTTAAATATTAAAAAATTTCTACGCATTAATAAAATAAAAAATTTTTTAACATACAACGGCTGTTGTAACGTCAAATTCTACTTGCTCGGATTCTAAACCTAATGGAACTTCTTCTGTTTCAATTTCTGCTTCGCCGGCTAGAGTGGGAATTTCATTTTGATCTGTTCTTTCACTTTCGGCCAAAATTCTATTCATTTCTTCCGCTGCTTCAAGTTCTCTTCTAATTTTCTCCTGCTTTTCTTCAAATTCCCTATGCTGTTTCTCATTTGCCTCTTTAATTTGTTTTTCTTCTTCCATTTTTTTCTTTCTTTCTTCTTCCTTTTGCCTCTGCTCTTTCCTTTCCTGTTGTAATTTAGCCAAAGCAGCTACAAAAAAAAAAATTATTAAATTTAACTTAAACCTAGTTTTAGAAAATTTTACATAAACCAAGTCACAAAATTTAAAATGAAATAATACCATTTTCAACTTCTAAATACGATTTTCTTCCGGCCTTTGCAGAATTTGTTACAGTTTCTGTAATGCTCATGTGCTTTAAAATGACGTCCTTTAAATTTGTTATTTCTCTATAGAGTGTTTTTTCCATTGAATTTTCATCTAATTTATCTAATAGTTCATCTAATTGATATTTTGTGCTATAATACCATACCTCGCCGTCATCTTTTTCTCTGCATAAAATATGAATTTAAAAAAAAAAAAAAAAAACTTATTGTTATTGTATTTCTATCTTTGCATTAATTGCATAGACCTTTATGTGCAAAATGTATACATACACAAATATTCTTCTACATAAAAACCAATATTTTCGACCATGTCTATCAAACCCTAAATGCTCATGTCTGCTTAATGTGCCAGTTTTTTCAGCTGGTATTATGCAATCTGTAACACCCGAGGTTCTGTGTGATTTACAAATGTTACACTGCCAATCTTCCTCAGGAACATCATTTAATGGGGGTTCAACACATTCTAAATGATAAACAGCAGGACATGTTTCACAGCATAGTAAGTCCCCTAGTCTATGACATATTCTACAGTGATCATCATAATGAATTGGTCCTACAATTTAAAAATTTTATCAATTCTTATAACTTTTAGTCGGGCTCAAAAATTCAATAATAATTAAGCGTCTTAATTAAAATGATTGTTTCTTACCTTCGCTAATTAAATCTTCCCTTACAGGATTCGTCACTAGAAATTGATCTGTAAGAAATTGAAGGACTTTTAACCTTTTCTCTACCCCACAAAATGGATAATCACCAGGAATTAAAATGTCTAAAATTGAATGATCAAATGATTTATCACTTTCCACATATGACCTCAGAACTTCTGGCCATGTCATTGGATCTATAAAGTAAATGCAAGCATTCACACTGTCTTTTTGATCCAAAGGACCGAAATGAGTTTGCTGAGAATCCTCTTCTCTGAAAATAGCTTTTAAGAGCATTATATGAATTTCCACCAACAAAACATTTTGCTCTTCTAACATTAAAGCCCCGCAAAATTCTTCAAGTCTGAAAGGTGATAATCTAGCTAAATTTCGAAAATGTCTTAACACTTCGTAAATACTCAAAGTTTTCATTATATATTCTTTTGGAACTAGAAGATCTTCAGAAGATTTCGGCAGATCTAAAGGAGGTAAATCTATTTCTTGCAGCCACAGGGGATCAGGGCTTGGAGGTTTAATGTATGACACTTTGTTTTTTGGTAAGTCAGAAGAATGATTACTTGAATCAGAATCACAATCATCTGATAAAACTGCATCAGGATCTATGTCGATATTGTCATCCATTTCACTTTCACTTTTCATTTCCTCAAAATCACTCCTGCTGCTTGACTCTTCAAAATCTGATCCATAATGATAATCAGAGCTCTTTTCAGCTGCTGATTTGAAATTGTAATGTCGCCCATAGTTAACACTTTTACCTCCCCTTTTTGAAACTGAACCATATGATAATCTTTGTTTATGCCTAAATGAACGACTGTTTTTATTGCTGATGTCACTAATATCTGGGGATGCGCCTCTGGAATGAGTTGGAGTACTGTCTTGTGAATTAGGGGTTTCAGACCCCTTATTTTCTTGGTTTAAGAGGTATTTTGGTTTTTTTAACAGATGATACTGGAATTTTTTTGGTCTTTCTAACACCACCGCTTTGGGAGGGCGTCCTCTTTTCCTAGCAGGTCGTCCAGTCATTTTCGGAGTAATTTACCAATCGAAGACTATGACGAACACGTGGGTTATCAAAACAATCATTTGTATACAAATATTACTGACAACCACAGAAAAAAACAGGCTATTTGTGTTTACGCTTTGCGCCATTCCCCCTCTGACGTCACGTGACCTAAAACTTTATCCATATCTGTCAAAAAAAATTATACAAACGACTAGCTCTTTTTACTATTTGCACGATCACATTCTGATTATTTTAAAGATTTACACTTATAAAAATGTTCACAATGTTAAAAATGTAAAAATTAATTCACTGACGCCAATTCACAAGTGAAAATACATAATCCTATAGTCGATGTTACATGCGATCTGATTGGTCAAATAATATGTACGCCATTAGCGTCTTATTTAAATTTTTTTTTTAGTATTATCACCATGTCCGATAATATAACTTTCAGCAAAAAATCAGCATTACATTAATACGATCGTTTGAATTTTAGAGGTGTATAATAAGTCTAAATCGTTAAGAGACAAAAAGTTACGCTTAACGAATGTTTAAGACACCTCGAACTAACCAATCACAAACGTTCTTACAATCTAGAAAAAAGAAGCGATTCAAGCAATGATTGAAGAAAAATTTTTGACGCTCAATTGTAGTTCCATTTTTCGCCACTTGTAGTTTATGCTTTTGTGTGATTCTTGATAAAATTTGGTTAGAGGCAATGTTTTTTTTTGCGTATTTATCCTTAATCAAAGCTTTTTTAATTTATTTAAATTTCCTTTTTAAGAAGTAAAGCAGAAAGAAAAAAGTTTTAAAAGATACACTCATATTCTTTTCTTACTTGCAATACTTTCCATTTTTTTTTTCTGATGCTAGGTTATAATATTTGAGTAATTATTTTGATTTTATTTACTTAAATATTTACGTTTTAGTTTTTGTAATTATGTTTCTTTCTTTAAAATAATCTTTATCCTGCCTAATTTGTCTTAATTTAACATGTTGGTTCATTTTAAACCTGTTATATAGTATTAAAAACATATGTGTTACTCTAATGTCTATAACTTTCTTTTTCTTATATCTATTTTTAAACTCTTAAACTAGATCATTAGATGTTAAATTTTAAAAATTACATTTTAACATTTACTTGTTTGTAATATTTTAGTAACTATAAATAACTTGATGTAATAATGAAACTTTATTTTAATTTTTAATGTTTAAAATATTTAAAAATTTATTGTTTGTTTCAGATTGACATATATATTGTCAAAACTGTTTTAAATCATTTCAAACTATTAAAAAAGTCATTGACTATAATTTTTTCAATGTAATAAAAAAATGACTGAGGTACATCATACAATGAGCTGGGCTCCTAATAACCCAAGTTTGGTTGAAGAAGAAGTAATATATGGCAATACTGAATATGTTTTGCCTCAGAAAATGGAAAATAACATGAGATTCATCACCCTTCCTGAAGAAGTGCCTATGATAGTTATTGAAAGCAATCAAGTATCAGCAGAAACTGATGCTCCAATGATCATTGTTGGAAATGATGTAGTAGAGCAAATGATATGTGCTGAAGAAGAAGTAGAAACGGAAACTGATTTGACTTGGTACACCAATCCTCCTGTGGCACATGAAGAAACAGTAGATACACAACCTGAGTCAAAAAAAATTAACAAACGTGAAGGAAGAGTTGCAGTGCCATATTTAAAAGATGAAATGCTTGATATACCACTTAATGACGAAAGTTATGCTACATATCATCCGTTTCCATGTGATTTCTGCAGCAGAAGATTCAAAAAGAAAGCTAACTTAATGAATCATATGGTAGCTCATCAAACTCAAAGACCCCATTCTTGTAACATTTGTTCATCCAGTTTCATGAGAAAATGCGACTTGGTTAATCACCAAAAAATACATTCATATGTGCCTAACAGAGAAAATAGAAATGACATTAACCAAGAAACAAAATACAATAATTACAATCATGTCAGGAAAAAAAAGAATAAGAAAATTAAAAGTAATTTTGGTAAAAAAGCCGGAGGAAAAGATAAAATTAAAGCTTCATCTTGGTCACCCCAAGAAAATTTTTTCAAACCGACCAGTTATGTCGATGAAGATGTTAAATTGTTACTTGAAATGACCAATAGGCTTCATGAAAAAAGTGGAAGTGACAAAAATTCAAATAAAAATCCTGGAGAAACTTTTACAGGTAGTGAGCAAAAACCTTATGTTTGCAATAAATGCGGGAGATGTTTTTCTAGAGAAAGTGCTCTTGTTTCTCATTCTCAAATCCATGCGGAAGATATTTATTATGACTGTAGCAAATGTGGACAGAATTTTTTTTCTTTGGAACTTTTGAGAGATCACTGTGCTAAAAAGCATGACATTCCATATACTGGTGAAACTTCTGACGAAAGTGAAGGTGGTGAATTCGATAAAGGAAAATACACGGGAGATGAAAGGTTTGGAACCTTTCATTGTTCTATTTGTTCTATAAGTTTTCATAGACTAGATTTATTGAAACAACATAAAAGGTAAATTTTTTTCTTTTTTCTCTTTATTTTATAAAACAATAATTATAACATTATTAGATTTTGCATTGTTTTAAAATATAAATGTATAAATAAGTAAATTACAAAGAAATATTTTTAGTGATACTGCTTTATTTTTTGTTTCAATTGTCAAAAAAGATTTTTTAAATTTACATAAATTGCATGTTTATTTTAAGTACTTTTTTTTACATTTTCATACTACTTTCTTTTCTTTTGCAAATTAAATAATTTATTAATAAATTTTTTTTTGTTTTGTAGAATTCATTCTAAAAAAGATGAATCATCAAGAGGCTATAAGTGCAACACTTGTCTTATTGAATTTTCAACTTATGAAAAACTATTATCTCACTTGGAAGGCAATGCTAGCTGTCAAAGACATATGTGTTTATTATGTGGAGAACATTTCAATGATCAAAATGCAGGTCAAAAACATATTCAGCAAAAACATAGTAAAGAATTGACTCCAAATTCATGTACTATATGTGGTAAATATTGCAAAGATAAAACTGCTCTACAAAAACATTCTTGGATTCATTCTACTGAAAAAAAATATTCTTGCAAGAAATTGGATTGTTCGAAAAAATTTCACAGTTGGGCAAGATTAAGAAGGTAAGAAATTTTTACAGAAATCTAAAATTTCACATATTTTTTTTTTTTTTTTATTAAAATAAAAAAATTATTCAAACAAAATTGTACATTTTAGGCATATGTTGTCACATAACGGAAGTAAAATGGTCAGATGTGAAGAATGCGATGAAGTTTTTCCGGATAGAAGAGCTTTAATTAATCATCGGCACAGTCATTTTCCCGATTCAGCGGCCCGTAAATTCATTTGTAACGAATGTGGAAAATCTTTTGGATCTCGAAGTAGTCAACAAATTCATAATCGTATCCACACCGGAGAACGACCTTACGGTTGCCGTTATTGCTGGAAAGCATTCGCTGATGGGGGTACACTTCGGAAACATGAGAGGATTCACACTGGAGAAAAACCATACGTTTGCGTTGTTTGTCCCAGAGCTTTTAATCAGCGGGTTGTTCTTCGAGAGCATATCAGGTCCCATCATTCTGGTTCAGTTAGTAAACCTGGTTACTCCACTCCGGTTTATCTATGTCCAGTATGTGGTGTGGTTACGGCAAATTCAGAGGAATTGGCATTTCATTTAGTCAAACATAGTGATGATAACACAATCCGGAACAGAAATCCTCAAGCTGGCATTCGAACTTACAAGCGAAGAAGAAAATTAAATTCCTACGAATGTGAAGAAAGTGAATTCGATGACGCTGATTATTATTCAAAAAGAGAGAGTGAGACGGAATCTGCAATCTCTGATAAAGAACAAGGAAAGAAACCTGCCGGCAGGAAAGGCAATAAAGGAAGGAAAGTAGACACTTACTCAAAATTTACCAAAACGTTCGAGGCTGCCATGAAAAATATAAATTCTCTGGTTGAAAATAAGCCAGTTCGAAAAGCAAAAATGATTAATACAAAAGGCAAAGGAGGTACAAAGAAAAATAAAAAAATTTTATCGAAAAGAGGACGAAAACGAAACAGCGGTGTGGCGAATAAAAATTCTGCCCCTAAATCTCGGCCCCGTACTCTTTCCTCGAGAACATCGGAAAAAAAAGAAAGTACAACGGAAAATGCTGAAAATCCGGTCAACGTCAACACCGTTTCCGGTTCTCAAACGGAAAACGCGAGATCACGACCTTCGAGGCCCAGAACTAAAAATGTTAATTACGAACAAATGCAAGAACAATTGCCCAAAGTTGCAATATTTCCCGAGAAAACGAAAAAGGTGATTAGGAAACCGTCCGTGTTTCAGGGAAAGGTAGAAGTTAAAAAAGAAATGTCGGAGGAATTGTTATCGGAGGATAACGGAGTTAAAATGGAAATCAAATCGGAAATTTCTGACGGAAATCACAGATCTGTAACGGATAATTACATATGCGGAATATGTTCGAATGCTTTTCCCAGTAAAGCTGACCTTCTTTTTCACGTGCCTATTCACATATAGCCAAATCGTTTATAAATTATAATCGTTATTAACAAATGATGTATGTTGTGGTCTATCTTTACAAAAAATACATTATTTAAAACAAATTTTATAGATTTACAAAAAAAAAATGTTTTATATCGTTTATGTTTTCAATTCTTCAAAATAATTGAAAAGCAGAAATTTATTTTTTAATTATTTCATTATTTTCAAATATTCTTATTGTAAAAGTTGTTTGCAGTGATTGATTGATTGATTGATTGATCGATCTGACATAATATATATGACGTAAATATTTTGTAAATAATGTTAATTATTTGTCAGATGTAATTAAAAAAAAAAAATAAGTTGTGCTCTTTGAAACAATGGCTAAAAGTTTTTTTATTTATAATTACAAAAAAAGAAATTTTAATTAATATGTTGATGTATTTTTTTTTTTTTTTTATTTTTTATATATATATACTTAGTAAAATTAGTATATAAAAGGAAAAAAAAAATTCATATTTATAAGATAAATATGTACTATTAATATATTGTATATTATAATTTATAATTTGTTTTTGTTCCCATAAATATTTTTAAAAAAAATAATTGCCTTAATATATATATATATATATATATATATATATATATATATATATATATATATATATATATATATATATATTTTACTAAGAAAGTAAAATAAATTTCAAATACTTGATTTATTAATTTATTTATTATGTAAATGAAAAAACTATTAATAGAGTATAAATAATAATAAAAAAAAGAATATATTATTTATACATGCATATAAAAGAGTTTGGAAAAGTTTTTGCCATTTATTATTAATTGTATTTTCTCATTTATTTTATTTAATAATTATTAATGATAATTTTTATGTGTTGTGCCAAATGAAAAATAAAAAAGCTCATGAGAGCTTATTTTAAATAATTCATCATTGATTTTAAATTTTAGACAAAATTTTAATTGTAATAATATATATATATATATATATATATAATTTTACTTTCATTTAATTTTGCACAACTTATTATTATTATTCAAACAACAATTAATTTTTTTTTTTTTATTTTTATATATGTATAAATGAAAATAAATGTATATGCTTTAAGGTATAATCATATTTTCTTATTGATAAATAAATGAATATAATTTCTTTTTTTTTTTTTTTTTATTGTACATAATATAAGAAAAAAATTTCATTATAAAAATATACTTAAATATAATCGCTTGTGAATAAAAAATGTAATTATCGCATTATAAATCGTGTTTAATATTTAATATAAATTCATTTAAGGAAAAAATTATTATTATTATTATTATTTTGTAGTTTTATGTATGTTATTTTGTGTATTTAAAAACTTGATATTTTTAAAAAATAAGTTTGAAACATGTTAATTTTGATTTTAAATTCATAATTTAATTATTTTTAATTAATAATTAATTAATCTATGTTGTTATTTAAATCATTCTGCAATAGAGAAGACAACACCACGACTTCAAATGTAAACAAAAATACATAAATATCAAAATGTATATATAATGTACGAAAAACAAACTTTTTATAATTATTATTAATTTATTATTAATTAATATGGCTAAAGCAAATGTTATATTACTTAATTCGATTTTATGGAACCTTCGGGAAATATCAAAACTGGCTGAAGTAATAAAAAAATATTGCGGAGATGTTGAATGTTCATCATGGAGATATCCACTTATAAATTGCAGTGAATTGGAAATATTTAAACTCCTTCAAAATAATAAAAGTTTAGATAATTACACTTATATTTTAGAATTAACTTACGATAGGTTGTTATATGTATTTAATTTAATTATAAAATATATGGAATCATACGAATCACTTGAAAATTTTCGACCGAGTAAAAACGTACGAAGACCCGTCACACTCTCGTTGGCGTCCATCTTGTTCATGATATGGGATAGAATAAAAGCTCAAATGGAGGGCAATAAGAATAATGTTGCGTCTTGTGAAGATAAAAATCCAGATAAAAATAATTTTGAATGTAATGTTTCGTGTTCGAAAAGTACAACTTGTACTCAAAGCGATGTTTGTTCCATTTCCGTTTGTTCCTGTTGCGAAATGGTACAAGAATTCGTTACCCAACTCGTTTTGCAAGTTGAAAAAATATTAAAACAACAAAATTTTGAATCCGCCATTACGTGTTTAAGGTATGTATTAAATAATAATAACGTTTAAAAATATTATGATTAATATTTAAAATGAATAATGTATTTTAGAAATTCAATAAAAGAATCTCTGTTAGAAATGACAAATTGGTCTGCAATGTCAAAATGGCTCGAAGCCATCGGAACAGATTTAAAAACAATATCGGAAAAATCCGAACAAGAAGCATTAAGCAGTCGTAAACTTCGTCACAGAATGGATGCAGATGAAAAAAAAATGAAATTAAAAATTGAAATACTTGAAGAAGAGAATAAAAATTTACAAAATCAACTTCGTGAAAATGAATCGAAAATATTTTCAACTAAAAATGAATTGGAACAACTTTTAAAAGAAAAAATTGAAATGAAAGAAGAAATAATATTGAAAAACAATCAATTGACGTCTACATCCAACGACTACGAGAATAAAATAAAAGACATTAAAAATATTTACGAAGAAAAACTATTAAAAAAAAAAGAAAAAAGAACAAAAAAAGAAATTGAAAAAGAAAAAGAATGGAAAAGAAAATTAGATTCGATGAGTAATAAAGAAAGAAGTTATGAATCTGAGATTATTCAACTACGCGAACAATTAACGGATATGAGAGAAAATTTAGAAAAAACAAATATGAAAATTTTCGAAGAAAAAAATGCTTTGGAAAATATGTGTAAAAATTTAGAAAGAAAATACGATGATATTAAAAATGAAAATGATAATTTAAATTTAATTTTAAATCAAAAACAAATTATCATTGATGACTATTCGAAAAAATTAATGGAGGCATTTCCGGATCTTAGTGACACGACAAAACTGACGTTCAAAGGTAATGTTATTTTTTTTTTATTTTATTTTTATTTAAATAATTTGCGTTTATTCGACGATTTTATAAAAAAAATTTTTGCAACTTAAAGCATCTGGTAATCCAATTATTGATATGGAAAGTCAAATAGAAGCTAATAATTTACGAATCGAATCCCTGTTAGCCGAAAATGAAACCCTAAAAAAAACGTTAACTAAAATAAAAACACTTAAAGGTGAACCAGTTTGAAATTAAATTTTTTACCTTTTGAAAATCTATTAAATTTAAAATCATAAAAACTTTCAATGGGTTGAAAAGCATAATTGTGTATAATATTATAATTTCAATTCAAAAAAAAAAGGAATTTTAAATCTCTATACTTCTTCATTGTAACAAAAGAATAAAATTTGTTTAAGAAGTTATAAATGAAATAGAAAATCAAAGAAAAATTATTAGTCTGAAAATTGTTGTTCACTTTGTCGAATAAAATCATCTAAAAACTCGATTAAGACACACAAGCCTGTATCGAAAACTAAACTATTTGTCTCACTAATCTGAAAATTTTGATAAATCAGCAAAATGATTATTTAATTTAAATTTATATAAATACTTATTGGGAAAATCAAGGAATCAAAAATTAGGCATATACCTTTACATTTTTTTTTTTATTTTAAATTTCATATTTAATTCTGATTTGCAATTTCTTACACTTCAAATTATGTAATCTAGTCTAAATTTTAAATAATACTTTGTACTTTTATTACATATATAAAGCAATAATAAACAAATATTAGTGAGAATGTCGATGAATTTTTTTTCATATGTAATATTTTATTACTTTGAATAAATTTTAAATGCATGAAATAGTTATAAACACAATAGTTATTTAAAATTAAAATTGATTCAAATCGATAATTTAGACAAAAACAAATAAAAAATAATTTTTGCATACATTTATTAGTTTAAAAAACAAAAATTTGATTTAATTTGTCGACCGAATTCCTAATACTCGTGGAAGTATTTAGTTCATCATATTTTTATGACATAACATTGCAATGATGATGATGATAATTATTAACCTACTTTATACTTGGCTCTTGTGACTGAACTATTTAAATGATTTATAATTCTTTTTTAATTTAGTTCTGATAACTTTTAATAAGGAATGAATAACATGACGATAAAATTCTTTACGAATAGGAATTTTAATTCCATCTTGTTTGTTTTCATTCTTATGTAGCAGGGATTCAATTTTTTTTTTTTTCTGAAGTAAATATATATATTTTAAAAATAAAAAACATGAATTTTACACACAAAAAAAAAAATTATTTTTTTTTCATTTATTATGTAAGATAAAACTTTAAAAATTTTAAATTAATAAGGCAATGATGAAAAAATAATTATTAAAAAGGATAAAATAAAAAGCTGCATTAACCATCAGACAACATAAAAATTGTACTCGATTTTTAACATAAACTAACAATAATAATAATAATAATAATAATATTACTTTTAATTTGAGACTTACACACACACACACATTATTGAAACAATAATAAAAAAATTAATTCTTTGATTTAAAGTTAAAATTTTTAAAAAATATTTTTTTTTTTTTTTTTTTTTTTAAATTTAATCAATAATACTGACAAGTTAATTTTTTTTTTTTTTTTTTTTTTTTTAATAAAAATTTTATTTAAAAAAATAATTTAATAAATTTTTAATAATAATAATAATAATAGTGTATATAAAATAAAAAAAAAAACATAAAAACATGATTGTTGTTGTTGTTGTTGTTTTTTTAAAGCGTTTTATATGTAAGGCGAATCATATTCGGTGAAAATAATAGCTTTTAAAATAAAGCAGAAGTAAAAAGTTTTTTTTTTTTTTTTTTGTTAGTTTTTGATAAATATTAAATAATGTATTTATATAAATATTTTTTTTTTTTTTGTTTTTACTGAACGAAGCGTTTGTAAATGAAATATTACTATAAATTTATTATTATTATTATTATTATTATTTATAGTAATAAGTCACGTGCTGTTTGTTGACTATCTTCATCTTACGTGACTGGCTAATCGTAAGGCAAAAATAGCACCAATTATCTATAAACAAAAAAAAAGGAAAAATTAATTTTATTTTTTACAAAAAAATGTGTCAAACGTTTTTGTTTTGTTTTGTGATAAGAACCTCTATAACTGATAAAGCAATGGCAACACCGCCTAAAATATCTCCAGCTTTTCCAGTGAAATTTGTTAATACTTCAGCACAACCTCTTGGCCAATAATCCAATGGTCTTGTTATGCATTTGTTTTTATCTCTGCAACAAGATTCGGGTACAGGATAAAGTGATTCTAAATAATCACTTTTTCCTTTTACCCCACAGCATTCCCACTGAAATTTAAAAAAAAAAAACAAAAAAAATTAACGAATGAATTATTACTTATTTATTACTTATACTTTTTTTTTTTTAATAATAATTTCACTCACTTCGGTTTCCATAACTTCAAATAATCGTCTGATATTCGGATTGTATTTTAATCTTCCAAATTCGGTTTCCAAACCTTTGTTAACGGCTGTCGTGAATTGTTCTTTGTGTGTCAATGCATAAATTCCAACTCCCAATTGTACGATGAATATGGCCAAAAGTAAAACGGCAAACTAAAAATAATAATAATAATAATAATAATTTGAATTTCATTTGACTTTCTTATCACGCTACCATCTTTAAAATCAGTTTTTTTTTTTTTTGTATAAAAATTATTATTGGGTAGTAATGAATAGGGATGGAACTTTATTAACTTACCGTTATGAGCATGCATCTGCTTTCTCTCACGGCTCCGCAGCATCCCAAACTGGCAATGAAAAAAATAACGACACCCACGACGATTATGAAAATTTGGGGAGCTCTAAGACTTGCATCTTGCACAAGATCTTGAAAACTTGAAATATTTGATAAGAGCAAAGAGCCTACAACTATCAGTGCCAATCCAATGAGCTGAAACAGTTTTAAAAAAACATTAATATTATAAATCCTTGTAAGAACCAACCCGTAATTATTAATTTTTTAATTACTTCTCAATGAAATCATACTGGCGTTTATCTCCCGCCCTCCCCCTCTCCTTCCCCCCGCAAAAAAAAAAATTTTCAGGGCAAAAAATCATGCGATAACTTTACCAAACATTTGTTACGCAATGCCAGAATAAAATTAACATATCATTTCAATAGGCAAATATATACGTAATAGTAGTAATAATAATGATGATAATAATAATAATATAAACTAACAATCGCGTGTTTCCCCCTCCCCTCTCCCCCCGGGATAAAACTTCATCCAAATAAATAATTTATTATTTTTAAATTGAATTTTTTTTTTTTTCTCATCTCATCTCAATATATATTCAACTCTTACTGATACTAATACTAATTATTATTATTATTATTATTATTATTATTATTATTATTATTATTATTATTATTATTTATTACTGACGACTTACCGAAAAAATGAAATTAAATGTGAATAGTAGAAATTTAATGCAACCGTCTCCGCAACTCATTTTCTTTTATTTTTCTTCAACCTTGAAAAGAAAAAACAAAAATAATAATAATGATAATAATAATAAAATAATATATGTGAGGAGCCATATTTATATTTAATAGTCATCATAAGTGAAATCATTTTTTTTTTGACGTATTAAAAATAATCATTTATTATTATTATTATTAAAAGGAATGACGTTTTCTTTTACTCAAATTTTTCTTTAATTCGTCGTGACACATTTTCTCCACTTTTCCTACGATTAAAATGAAAATAAAATTTTCATTTTTCTTTTTTTCGTTTTGTTTTGTTTTGTTTCGTGTTTTTTTTTAAAATTCGCGATGAGATTTCGAGAATAAATTGAAAAAATTAAAGTTTTTAAAAATTATATCCCCCTTAATAAGTTTAATAATAATAATAAGAAGGCGGTTAATAATAATAATAATAATAATAATAAACAATCCCGAATTTAATAATAATAATTATGTCATGTATCATTTTTTTTTTTTTTTCTTAATAGCATCAAAGGATATTTAAAAAAAAAAAATGACGTCATTAACGTTTTAAGGATGCAATTAAAAAAAAAAAATAAAAACAAAACAACCGGAAATGGATAAAAAAAAAAAAAGGAAAAAAGGAAATTAATGGTCATTTAATGATTAAATACTTTTCTTTCTTTTCTTACATTAAAAATTTTCATTCGTGTAAACGCATAATAATAATAATAATGATGATGATGATAAGGACAAATTTAAAAAAGAAATTTAAATAGCGTAAAAAAAAAAAAAAAATCAATTTTAAGAAAAATTAATTATTATTATTATTATTATTGGATAAAATTCGCGAGGAAAATTTTTTTTTTTTTTTTCGAAACTTAAATTCGGTCATGGCATTGTTTTGGCTCGAAATCAAAAAGGGAAAATTTAATTTCGAAAAACTAAAACTAAAACTAAAACTAAAAAGCG